TTCAGCAATCTGATGAATTAGAACTTTTTTTTTTTTTACTTTCTCTGTTTAACTGATGAAGTGACTGAGGCTCAGAGAGGTGACATAACTTGCTCAAGGTCACAGTTCATAAATGGTGGGGTCAGAAAGTGAACGCAGGTCCATCTGGCTGCAGAGCCTGGGCTCTGAACACCATGAATGCTGCCTTGCAGAGGGGGAAACTGAGGCCTAGGGGCAATGACTTTGCTTGGTCTGAGCTGGGGGTCCCAGGCAATGCCTTGGCCTCGCTCATGGGGTAGTTGCAAGGCTGGGAGTGGGGTGAAATGCTTTGTTTACTATAAAGCCTCACATTTCAGGGGCAAAGCGGGTATAACGTGGTACCCAAGGATGGGGGCAGAGTCCTGCTCAGGAGAGAAGAAAGGCCAGGAGCTCTCTCCAGGCCTCAGCCTTCTCGCCTGGGGAATGGCGTGATGCCTCCCTGCCTTCAGGAATGACAGGCGCTCCTTGCCTCTGCAGACGGTGGGCGAGTCCCTGCTCTACATGCTGGAGAAGTGCCTGGGCCCTGCCTTCACACCCGCTGTGCGCGCAGCCTGGAGCCAGCTCTATGGGGCCGTGGTACGGGCCATGAGTCGAGGCTGGGATGGCGAGTAAGAGGCAGCCTCTGCCCAGCGGCCTCCACTCGGTGGCCTTCATCTGTCTGTGTCTGTCTGTTGGTCTGTGTCTGTTGTGGCCCAGGCTCCCCTAGGCTTGCCTGCCTCTTGTTCCTTGTCCCCTCGACCTTACCAGAGAGGTGATGGAGCAGGCCTGGGTCTCCACCCCCAGCCCACTGAGGTACAGACACGTAGCTTTGCCTTTAGTGAAGGGTTTTTGGATTTTCCTGAATCCTCCCTGCCTGCCTGCTTTCCCCTCTGGTATCTCTTCTTCTGCCATGAGGAGTAGCAGCATTTTGGTGGCACTGGTGGCCTGGGGCCAGGAAGGTATAGGGCTCTGCTGGCACTTCTTGGGTGAGCCTGAGCCAAGTCAGGGAGTGGGACAGCTGAGCTCCGGGCACCCTCTCAATGATTTTCTCTCCCAGGGTGTTTGCTTTTCACAAGGAAAGGGGAGGGGCATGGTAGCATCGCAGGCAGGTCAGCAGGAGAACCGCTGAGGAAGGGACAGGTGACCTGGCTTTGTGAGGGGCCCATCAGGGTCTCAGGGACCTTCTGCGGTGTCCCTGCAGTATCTCCCCTTGCCTCGCTCAGCACTTCTGGTCGTAGCTCAGCTGTTGTTGCTCTGTAGGAACCGGCTAGCCAGCCAGGCGGGGTGTGGCTGTGGAAGGCCAAGGAAGGAAGGGAGACTATTCCCCCAGCCCTCCTTCCTGCCTGTGCCTGCGCCGTCGGCAGGTCCACAACGCCCCATCTTTTGTACCCAGTGTGAACCTGTACTCAGGTGGGCAGATGGACAAGAAAGCAGTGGGAGAGGCCCTCTACCCTCACCCCAAGCTGTCTGTACTTCTATCTTTTGCTTCATGCTGTGGATGTGTAAACTCCTGAGGAATAAACCTCTTCTGTGTGCCTCTCTGACCCTCTGGGACTGGTCTTTTCTTGAGTGTCAGCTCATATCAGATGAAGCTGCAGAGTGGTGGATCTAGGGCAGGGCAGGAGGATGGGGTCAGGAGGGCCAATGTGAGAACAGGTAGCAAAGAAGAGGCCTGGGGAAGCCAATGGTGGAGATGGAGCTAGGGGTCTGTGGTGGAAACTGCCCGACAGGGCACCAAATTCAGTTCTTCTGCCTGGGCTGGACTACATTTCCCAGAGCCCCTTGCAATGAGGTGGTCATGTGACCAAAGTTCTGGCCAATGGAATGTATGGACATGGATGCAATTCCCAGACCTGGACCCCCAAACTCCTGCAAGCTCCTCTATGCTCAGTCATCCTTCTGCTGGTTTCATGCAGACCTCACAGTGACCTTGAGGGCCACGTGTTGAAGGTGCAGAGCCACTAGGTGGGAGGAGCAATGGGTCCCTGAATCACCGCTTGGACGAGAGAACCTGCTAGTCAGAAGTGCCTGGTGGGGCCCAGGTACTTCTGCAGGTAGAGCAGGGACTCACTCATTTTGAATTGTACAGGAAAGAGGCATAAACTTGTATTTGTGCCATTATACATTTGGGGGTTAGGGACATGGTAGCCCACCTGCTGGGGATACAAATGGGCCAGGTGCCAAGACAGCAGCAAAGGGCACCAAAGACTCTGAGGAAAGCTCATAGACCCTCCTTAGAGGGGAAGGTACCCATCTAAGGGCTTTTAAAGGACGTTAAATGAGTTAACCCGGAGCGTATATTGGAGCTGAAGAGCAGGTGTGTGTGTGTGTTCAGGAGGATCTGGTAGACAGGGGCAGAGAGACAGCCAGGGGCCTGGGAAGGGAGCGGTGGCAAGAGTGGACATCACGGCAGCAGGCTTGCGGTTAACCCCCAGCCCCTGCTCCTGGCCTCCAAGTGTGGGGTCCTAGAGCTGGGGTCTGAGTGGCTGGAAGAGCTGCACCTGGGCCACTGCCCTCACCCTGAGGCTTCAGTTTTCTGAGCCGAGACCGAGGCTGCCGGTGCCAGCAGAGCCTCCGCAGCTCCCAGCCACGCTCCGACGGCGGGCGTGCCAGGCGGTGTGACTGCAGACACGGAGGCTGGAGCGCGCTAGGAATGCTCTTCCCACTGCGGTGCTGATAGCGTTTTTCTCTCGGGCCCCGCAGTTGCCACCGAGACGGGGCCTCCTCCACTGCGTGACCAGATAACAGCTCAGACTCAGGAGGCCATGCTGGGTCTACAGTTCTCAAATGTTTGACACCCACTCGGGTGACTGGGGTGACGTGGCTTTGGAAAGACTGTACACCCTCTCTGACCTGTGTCTTCAGCCGTCTTAAGCACATCTCCTGAAGGCTACCCTTCTGCTTATGCATGCGTGCATGTGTGTGTGCATGAGTGGACATGCGCGTTGGGGGGTAGTTCCTTCCTTCCGTCATCCCTGCAGTCCTCTCTCTCCTTTAGTCCCCCCACACTCTATCAGTTCACAAGTCCCATCCTATACAAAGAACCGCCCCACCCTACACCCTCTACTCTCTCCAGCTACTGCCCTGTTTATTTCCTTTGACAGCAAAACTCTTCAAAAGAGTTGTCTTCCCCTGCAGTTTTTCATTTCCTCGCTCAGAGGAGCAAATGGGACCCTATCTCATCGGGCTTTCAGCCCGCCCCTAACCCGTTACCGTCTGGGCCAGGAACAGCCTTTATCCGGTGGCATTCAGAGTCCTGTCTCAGCCCTTATCTCGCTCTTCTGCTCAGCAGCACCTGGAAGAGTTGATCACTTTTCCCTTTGTTTTTAAACCTTTTATTACAAAAAATATGTTCACATACACAAAAATCAGAGCCTAGAGAATCTCCATGTGCCCAGCGTCAATGGTGAGCACTCGAGGTCCCCCTCCCTCCCCCCAACGCCCCGCTGGCCCCTTTCATTTTCCTGGAGAGTTTTAAAGCAAATCCCACACTTCCTGTTCCTTCACCTGTAGACTCTTCCATGTAACTTCTAGCTGATACTTTTTTCGCTTCTTCACCCACACCATCTACACATCTACCAAGAAGAACAGTATTTCCTCAACCTCACCTAATGCTCAGGTCATATTTCAAGGCCCCTGATGTCTCAAAGATGTCTTTCTGCAGCTGGTTTGTTCCACTCAAGCTGTGACCAAGAGCTACACATTGCATCTCATTGTGTCTCTTAAACCTTTCGTTCTCTGCAGCCTCCCTCCTGTCCCCTATACCTTTGATTTGGGGGAGGAGGTCATCCTGTGTACCTAATGGCATGCCCAGCATTCTAACTGCCGATGCTTTTCCATGGCATCTTCAGACTCATCCTTCTATGCCCTGTGTTTACTGTCAAGTGTTGGGGCTGGGGGATCCCTCCTTCCTTCTGGAATTCTTTCCTTTCCTTGGCTGTAGGGACACCCGGCCCTCCTGGCTCTCTTCCTTTCTCGCTGCTACTCAGCCTGCTAAGTCTCCCTTGGGGATTCTCTTCCCGCCTCCCTCGGAGCTCCTCCTACCTCCACTTGCTCAAGCAGAGGTCTCAGCCAGCCCATGCTTCAACCACCACCCATGTGCTGATAACTCTGAAGTGTACATTGCTTCCCTAACTCTCCCCCAAACTCAGACTCTAGTATCCAGTTACCTGCCGGACATCCCCACGAGGCATCCCAAATGTGAACATGACCCAATAGGACTTGTTATTTTTCCCCACACCCGTCCTTTCCAGCATCCTTTGGGGTACACCACTTTACCCCAGTTGTTCAGGCTGAAGAACTAGGAGTCATTCTTACTTCCTTGCTCTCTTTCAGACTCCACATCTAATCTATCCTCGGACCCTAGAGAGGATTTCTCTACCTCTTTCCTTATTCGCTACCCTGTCCCTGTCCGCGCTGCCACCTTGTTCCTCCTAGATGTTCCCAACAGAGCCCCAGCGGGGTTTCTCCTTCCACCTTGTCCCCACCTAGTGGCTACAGTGATCGCTTCAACACCTAATGGGATCATGCCACCCCCGGGCTCAGAATCCTCCAGGACCTTCCCACATGCCTAGAGTAAACCGCAGAGTCCTAACCAGGACCTCAGAGCCCCATTGCCCTCTCGGCCCTCGCCCACTCTGCTCCAGCCACTCCGGCCTCCCCACCCAGCCTCGGGCACTCCAGGTCTGCCCAGCCCCCTGCATGCATCCTCTTCATGCCCAGCCTCTCCTCGGCCTCCCCCTGCCCTCATGCTGATGCTGATGCAGTTGCGTCTGGTGCAGACCTCGGCCCTGCTGGCCATCTGCCTGGGGGCCTCCACGGAAATCTTCATCTGGTCAAATTTGGCTTCTAGTCTGGCCATCAGCTTGCTCTCAGGGCTCAGCATTCACCCTGGGGTTTCTCTGTCCAGGGGAGGCTACTGCAATGGCTCCTGGGTAGCTCACAGTCCAGAAAGATCTCCTTGATTGCTCAGGGAGCTCTCAGGGGATCCAACAGCAGGAAGAATGAGGCCAATTCACTTCCCATCTCTCCAGCAGATCAGGCAGCATTTCCGGGCATTTCCCTGTGAGGACAGGGGCCACCAAACGCCTCAGGAGTGAGGGGATCCCAGAAGGGGCAGCTCTGGCCCCAGGGACCAAGACCATGAAGCTGTGGTGCTCCAGCCCAGTGACCTCAGGGAGGACCGTCCCTTAACAGCTCCGGCTCCTTCCGGGCGGAGGGGAAGCCCAGCTGGGCGGCTCCAGATGCAGAGGCACAGGCCAGGACAGGTCGGGAGACTGTTTATTCAAGGCACGGTCATAGCATTAATAACAAGGAGGTTCGGCATTCTGGCACATTCCTTTAGTGGTGGCGGCCAAGGGAAGTCCATACCCCTCACCCTGGTCCCCAGAGGACACAATGCTGCTGATAGGCACTTGGCTTCCAGAAGCGTCTGAGGAAGAGGCAGGCAGGCGTGGAGCTGCTCTAGGCCCAGCGGGGCAATTCTCAAAGGCTCTGGGCAATACCGGACCCCCGTACCCCAGAGGCAGCTCCCTCCAGAACGGACCAAGCCTGAGAGGGGTTGCTTCGGTGGACAGGTAGGGGCGGGGCAGCGGGCAGGCAGGCTAGGTGGAGGCCAATGTGTGAGGCAGGCGTGGGCTGAGGGCGAGCCGGAGGGCAGGTGCCTGGTGGCGGGCTGCAAGGAGCCAAAGCACGCCCACACCCCACACAGCGATCGGCGGTGGCCTAGTAGTGTGGCAGGGCCTGCCAATTGCCCTGGGTCTCCAGGAAGGGTAGAGAAATGAGTGGACCCTGGAACTTTCCTGACATCTGTCTTCTCTCAGAGCCAGTCTGCATTGGACCCAGATTCAGAGGGGAAAGCCCCAGACATGCTGCCATGTCATCTGCTGGGACCCTTGCCATAGGCAGCTTCCCCTGGCTGCCCGGTGGGCAGGGGGAGGAGAGAGGCGGGACAGCGGCAGAAGCAGCAGGAACAGCCCAGCAGGGGCTGCAGAGACCGGAGGCAGTGCCAGCAAGGAGCGCGCGGTGAAGGTGAGCCAGCGGACCAGCTTCTGCCAGGACTCCTCCGCCCCCGCCTCACACACCAAGTACCTGCTCCAGGGGCTCGCAGTGCCTGGAACTGCCTGTGGGGGCCCTGACCACCCTGCGCGGGAGAGGACCCTTCCCCACGTTGGCTGGTGAAATGCTGGGGGAGGTGGCCTGTGGGCCCTCGGTTTATGAGGGACTGGCTGGGGATAATTTCCTCCTTTTCCCAGATGGACAAGGAGGGGGAGAGACTGCTCCTCCCTAGTGGCTCAAGCTCTCCGGGAAGATCTTTCAAGCCCAAGGAGAATCTCTGGGGTGAAGCTTGAAACTGCTGGCGCTGGGACGTGGGCAAGGATGAAGCGAGGACAAAGCCCAGGTGATCTGAGTTCAGGGGCACCCGTGTGCCTGGACCCAGTGAAAATGCCCAGGTGAGGGGCGCCTGGGGCCCACCTTCAGCAGGTTGGCTTCAGGGACCCTGACCTTTGGAGGAAGGAGCGCGGGAGAGCTCGAGAGCAGGCAGACCCCATTCGACTTGGCTTGTTCTGGTCCACTGAGGCCCCAGCGGCCCTTCTGTGTGTCCTTCTCTGCTGGACTTCCTGGTGGTCTGGAAGGGACCTGTCTCCCCCGAGGCAGAGGCCTGCACCCCCCGTGCCTGGCGCAAAGGTGCCGGGTGTCCACAGCATTGCTCCTGCTCAGGATGCGGTTCCAGGCCTCAGGACGTGGCAGCTCTGGGAGGGCGTACTCCACCAGGAAGGACTTCCCTGTGGTAGACACGGCCCCAGCCCAAACCTGCCCCTCACAGGGCATCCCCAGGGCCACCCTGGAGACCCCTTGAGTGGTCTTCAGTCCAAGAGTAGAGGAAGGCTCCTACCTGGAGGGCAGGCAGTGCCGGGGGCCTTCAGTTGGAAGCATGGATTCCTTACCCGACACTGCCGCCCGCCTTGGCCACGTGGGGGACCCAGGCGCTCAGTGGGTATGAGGCAGAGGCAGCTTGCAGTGGCCACATTCTTGGTCTTGGGGCTCCTCTCTTTAGGCCCTGGGGCTTGGGGAGGTGTGTCTCATTTCCCATCACCCAGCGTTTTGGGAGAAGACCCCCGGTCCGTGAATTCTGTCTCTGCCCCTCCCACCTGATAGTAACAGCCGAGGTTTGCCTTCATGAAAATGCACACAGGTCCCATTTAATGAGCCCCAAGGGATCGTGTCCCAGCTCCCCTTACAGGAATGGAAAGGAGAAGAGTCTCTACCCTACTGCTCTTGGGGATGCCTGTCAAGGGGCAGAGGAACGGGAAGGGCCTCAGTTACCTCTCAGGTCTAGGCTCTCCGTTGCCCCTTGCTCCGGCAGGTGCAGAAACTTTCCCTCTACAGCTCCCTGCCCTGGGTAGCCTGGATGAGGCGGTCACCTGTGTTGTGTTGACACGGCCCAGCACACAGGCCTTCGCTCCCACAGACTGCAGGGGAGGGATGGGCCAGGAGCAGGGGCGCGGCAGGGGTAGGAGCAGCAGCAGCAGCAGCTCCTTCTCATGGCAGCTGGTGGAAGGGTGCAGAGGCCCCGGAGAGTCTTCAGTGGGCTTCTTTCTGCCTCTCCCATTACGCACACACTTCTCTGTCTTGACCCCAGGAAGGCCCCCCAGCCTCCAGTCTCTGTGCCCCGGGAGCAGCAACCTCTCCCAACACGTGGTGCTTGCCGGAATCCCCTGTTCCATCCGGGGGTCCCTGTGCACTGCCCAGCACCTTCTGTCCTGGCTGGCCGGCAGGCCGGGGCTTCCATGTGGCCGGTGGCCAGGTCAGCAGCCGTCTTTGTCTGGCCTTTCTAAAGTCTGCAGGGAGTAGCGGAGGCCAGGCCGCCCCTCTCGCCCGCCCCTGCCTGGCCCTCCCATGGCTGCCATTCCCAGTGGAGACGCCAGGGGGAGGCCTCGGGTCCTGGTCAGTGGTACTGGCTCTGGCCCTGCAGTTCCAGGCCTTCCTGGAACTGGGCCGAGTCCAGCTCCCTTGCAAAGCCCCTGGCACCACTCTCTTCTTCTCCCCCTTCGGGCTCTCTGTTCATGGTGCCGTAGGTGTGCCGGGCGGGGGAAGAGGCTGGAGTCAGGTTCATCTCTGGCTCTTGCAGCACGGTGGCCACATACATCTGCTCAGGACAAAGAGGGGAGATCGGGGTGAGGTCGCATTTGGGGCAAGGCCCCGGACATACCCTCCCCTCTTACGCCCTACCCTCCAGAGAATCTGCCCCTCCAAACCACGGACCCTTCTTCACCAGCAGCCCGAGTCCTGGCCATCCCACCTGCCCAGCTGCTCTTGGTCATTTAATGAGCATCCACGAGCTCCCAGGGTGTGTTAGTGCAGGTCTCCTAACTTCTAGTCCACGGTTCCTTCAGCGCCTATGCCATTCACTCTTGGTTCCAGGCCAGGCTAAACCCAGGGGACGTGACATTAAGGCTCCACTATGCCGGGTTCTGGAGAGACCCTCTCCCCCATTCCTGAGCCAGTGCACTTTCTAATACAGCCTCAGAGGTGCATCCACAATTCCTTCCACCGTGTCACTGGTTGGCCTGTGAATCAGGATTGGAAACTGAGATGACTATCTGAGGTCTTGGTCATGTGACCTGTCAAATCCAGGAATGGTCCCAGGACCACCTGGGAGGGCAGTAGAAAGAGAAACTCAGGAAATACTAGGGATAGCGCTGTTTGTCGTCCTTTGGAGTGGCTTTTAAACCAACTCCTTATTTTGAAAACAGGTGATTATTGGATAGAATTAAATTCATTTCAATAAAACCAAACAGCCTTTGTGGGTGAGGGAACAACTTTCCTACAGAAGAACCTAATGTTTGCATAACACCAAAGCAAACCCCATAGAGGACCTTTTGGTCATAAGTGGAAAAATTGTAACTGAACAATGGAAGAAGCCAGCTGTCATCCCCTTAAGCTGGGAGTCACGTTAGCATCAGTAGTAGGAACAGACGGGATAGTATGTATATCTTGGTATGAGGCACAGTGCTACCTGTAGTGTGGTCTAGCACCTAGTGTTGAACTTGAATCTATCAAGCCGTTGGTTCTACTTTCTAGCCTGTAGGAGATACAGGAGACAGTGGAATCTGCTCATGAAGAAACAGTCAGTAAAACCCAGGAGGTGGGACATTCTGCGGGATTACTGGCTTGGTCTCTCCAACGAGCGTTAAAAAAAGACGGTGCTAGAATTAGAGGGACGTGCATAGGTACCAGATTAATGGGCACAGAGACTGGGTTGGATTTTGTTTTGGACAAGCTGTAAAAGATAGTTACAATACTTAGAGCAATTTGAATATGGACTGGGTATTTGAAGATGTAAAAATTTATATGGAAAGATGGTGATTGTTAATGAAAAGGCGGGTTATAAAACATTTTATTTTAGCAAAAATTATATATATATGAACTATAACCAGTATCATTCATCATCTCTGGGTGGTGAAAATATGGACTTTTTATTTTTTTATTTTTTTTAAAGACTTCATTTATTTTTAGAGAGTGGGGAAAGGAGGGAGAAAGAGAGGGAGAGGAACATCAACTGGCTGTCTCTTGCATGCCTCCAGCTGGGGTCCTGGCCCACAACCCAGGCACGTGCCCTGACCGGGAATCGAACTGGTGACCCTCCAGTTTGCGGGATGGCACTCAACACACTGAGTCACACCTGTCAGGGCTTTATTTTCTTATTTTTGCCTATTTGCCCCCCCCCCAATAATTTCTACAATATTCATATACCACTGTTGCAATAATGAAAGAGTATAAAAATCAGTTCCAGTTATTGTTTAAAGCTCAAGCTTTAGAGTCAGACCGGATTCAAACTTTGTTCTGCCACTTCCCTGATTAGGAGCCCCCAGGAGTCTAAGCTAACTGAACCTTTTGAACCTCAGTTTCCCCACCTGTAAAATAAGGATAAAACCCTTACTGTGTGGGTTTATCATAAAGATCAGGAGCGAGAGTGGCGGAGCTCGGCCCTGCAGGGGTCTCTGCACCCGCACCTAACTCTGCCAGGACTACTGAGCCTGCTCCCCGCTGGGCCCTGCCACCGGCTCCGCATTTCCATATGGCTGGCTGTCTTCAGTTCCCCAAACGCTGCCCATTGTCTCCTCCAGGCCTTGGCACAGGCTGATCCTCTTCCTCGAATGCTCTTCCCCTACACACTATTCCACGTGGCAACCCCAGCTTCTATTCCTGGAGTTGGATCAGATGTTCCCTCCTCTGGGAAGCCTTCCCTGCGTGCTCTCTTCAGTGTTCCTCTGGTACCCAGCTCAGGGCGCACATTGGTGGCCCTGCCTCCACACTTGTGACTGGGACGTGGGTGAGCGCCCTGCCCCTCTGGGCCGAGCCACAGTGTGGGAGCCAACGCCCAGCCTGCTGGACCCCTAATCTCTGAGTCTGGCCTCGTCTCTTCACACGCGGATGGGCTCGCTCATCTGGCGCCGTGCAGGCCTTCCATTGAGTCCAGACCTCCAACAGCTCCTGCAGCCCTGTCTGCGCACCTGTGTCCCTTGGAGGCAGCCTTCTGTCCTGAGGCCCAGCCCCAGCACGTCCCTGCATCTACAGGACTGAGCTCGCTGTGGCTGGGTTCTCCCTGACCTTTCTTGTCCTCTCTGAATTCCTCTCTGAATTCCTTCTAGGGGCTGTCGAGTTAAACTTGGATCTTCTATCTTCCCAGATCTTCAGCCAGGGCCACGGCAGCAATTGGACCTGGGCCAAGTCCTGCTGCGTCAGCAATTGGACCTGGGCCAAGTCCCGCCTCCTCCCCAAAACCCAGGGCAGGCACTAAATGCTGGTGGCCCCACAATGCCAGCGGAGTGGCCCGCCCCCTGTGGCAACCCCCCCCCCCCCGCCTTCCCGCCCTGTCCCCCAGAGTGAGGGCACTGACTCACAAGGGAGGTGGGCGTGGAGGAGGTGCTGCTTGGCTCCATGTCAAACACAGTCTCCATCTCCTCCTCTGGCTGCAGCAGTGGGGAGAAAGGTGGATGGTCACAGAATGGGGGTATCTGCCCTTTGCGCCCTCCCGCCCCCACATCCAGAGGAGCTGGCTCCTGCAGCTGGGACTGTTGCTCCCTCTGAACTCAAATGATATATTTTTCCAAAATGGCAGCTCAGCTGGCAGAGATGAAGCCCAAGGGGACAGAGAGATGACTGGGATGCTAGGGTGATCCTTCCGGAATATTCTATTCTCAAGGACCATAATGGTAGAAGTAAGCAGATGTGGGATTGGGGTTCAAAGTAGATCCTTCCTTGAGGCTAGGAAATCCCTTCACTTCAACTCTCTCTTCTTTCCTCCTGGGATTTCTCCTCTATCAAGAACGAGTCCTGAACCACTGTGGTCTAGGTCCCCTGCCACCTTCCTCCTTTGGAGTGCATACACGGACAGCCAGAGCACATGGCATTGTTGCACGGGAGAGACAGAGCCAGAGGCGTCATTCACTCTGCTGCTTCTCTAGCAGGCACTCAGGCCAGGGCATGGGGGCGGGGGGCATAGGGAGGGCAGTGAGGGCCTGTGTCCAGGGTCCCAGACACGACGTAGCCACTTAAAGCAAGAGGGTCCTCTTCCAAGAGGCGCTCTGCTCTGAGCTGCTCTAAGCTGGGTGCCAAGACTTCAAATCCACTTACTTCTTTTCTTTATATATAAATTCATTTAAAACAGAAAACTTGTATCAGTTGCTATAAGCAGAAAAATAAATCAATATGAACCAACAGAAAATCAATGTGTAACCATGAAAAACAATGCTTTGGTCCACTGGAAGTCGTTCCCGTGTGCCTATACAGACACCTCACTTTGAGAAACACTGGTCTCTAGCAGAGAGCATTGTTGGCATGGCTCCCATGAGCTCTGATTGGCTCCCTTCTCTAATGGGGAGGCTCGGCCCCACTGGCAAAGAGCAGAAGGCACTGTGGGGCCCAGAGAGCCAGGCTCCCCTCCAGGCAGCCTCAAGACATATCCTGGAGCTCTTAAAGCAATGACTACACCCTTCCCCAGGTCGCTATCCTTTACTACCCCACCCTTCTCCTTTACTCCATCCCTTCCCTCTGCCCACCATCTGCCCCTTGGAATGGTGCTCGCAGCTCAGTGGCAGAACAGGCTCCCATTGTGGGAGGTGTCAGAGGGGAGAAGAGGAGAGGACAGCCGTCTTCTAAATATCCCCACCCTGAGAGGGGAGCAATGCCTGGGCCAGTGCAAGGGGCGCACACAATGAGGTGGTGCGCCCCGTAATGAGAGAGAAAGGCAAGTGCCTTTCCTCTATGTGGTGCTATGGGCACCCAGGCCAGGAGGGTGTCGCAGGGCTCTGTTCCCAGGGGCCGGGGAGACCCAGAGGAGGACGGGCAGGCGGGCAGGCAGGCAACTCACCTCATAGTTACGCGAGCTCCGGAGCTTCCCCATAAGAATGCCCAGGAAGGCAATCAGCACGGAGATGATAAGGGTGGTCAGGGAAAAGATGGTGATGCTGTGGAATGAACCTGCCAAGGGGAAGAGAAGGGGCTTGGAGCTTGAGGACCGGAGTGGGCGGGAGTCTGCCAGCTGAGATGGTCCCCGACTGATATGTGCCTGGGTCCACTCAACACCTCCGTAGGGGCTTCACGCCTGGGGCAGAGGGGCCCTTGCCCAATTCTCTTCCTAACAACAGGGATCAAGGAGCCTGATACAATGACCTCATCCCTTAGTGCTATGTGGCCAGCTTAGAATTTGGCATCTGTGGATTCCATGAAAACAAAATTAATTCACTTAAGTATCTGTTTAAGTGCCCATTAGACAAGTCCTTCTCCACCCATGAGCTACCTCCCACGTCACAGTCCCTGCAAAGTATCTTTGAGTTATTCATTTGTGCCCCTGCCCCAAATGCAAGCTCTGGCCCGCACCTCCCCTTTCCAAGAGTCCCTGCCTACAATCTGTGCTAATGGCCCTGAAAAGCAATCCAGAATGTAAGTCATTTTTGTTTTGCTTGGTGATATTTGGTAACTTTTTTTGGGGGGGGGGCGGGGAGCAGTGTTCTAATAAGGTAAATATTAAAAATCAGTCCACATATTACTGCATAACAATGCTTATAATCATGTTTTTATAATAACAGAAAAAGTGAACCACCCTGATGTCCAGCCGCAGAGAGCTGACTAAAACTGAGAGAGGTGGACGTGGCTGTGGAAAGGGAAGGCGCTCACACAGGACACATGCTATAAAATGGACTTCACAGTTTGGAAGAGTGGCAATAAACCAATAAACTCCCTTCCACTTTGCCATATCCTCACCACCGCCCCCCGCCAAAAATGTATGCACAGAGTGAGGTCTGGGAACAACGGCCTTAGGTGTCCGATGACTCAAGTGTTCATCTTTCTATTTTTGATAATAAATGGGACTTTCTTTATGCTTGGAAAAAAGCATTATAACAAATGAAATATGCGTGGTGGCAGGGAAAGGCTGGGGGACAAGAAGTTGGGGGTGACAGTACATGGATGATGCATACAAGTGACCAAGGGCTGAGTGTTTACAGGTGCCATTGTGACAAGGAGAGTAAGATAATACGGACTTTCCTGGCTCTGTGCCACCCAAGAAGGTTAAGGTCAAGTGTCCCTGAGAGAAGGCCAAAGTCAGGGGAGGCAGAAAACAGTATGGGGCGGGGCAGGGGGAGGGGAGAAGGATGGGGAGGTCAGTGTGAGCTTCTTGCCTCAGAGAGGATTTCTGCTGCCAGGCCCGAGGGGACAGGGACAGCGGTTGCCAAGGGGAGGGAAAAAGCAGGCTGCTGGGGAAGACTCTGAATCCTCCTCCAGGTTTTTGGCAACTCATGAGACCAGGAGTCCTGTAGGATCCCAGAGGGAATGTCATGGGAATTGAGCCTGAGAGCTAACATCTTACTTCCTGCCAGCCCAGAGTTAGAATGAAGGAATATGATGCTTCTGGCCCTGAGGGTGGTACCCAAAATGTACACAATTTGGATGGTCCAAACCATCCCCTTACCTTCAAAGAGCTCTAATCAGAGCCCCTGGGGCCTAGAGAACCCATGGGGCTGGGCAGTGCTCAATGAGCAGCCTTGGTCCTCTCGGCCTTTTCTGTTCTAACGGAGCTGTAGTGGAGGGGGTTACGGAGCAGTGGGGCCAGGCAGAGGTGGAATGGCTGGCAAGGCCTGGTACCTACCTAATCGGAGGATGGAGAAGAAGAGCATCCAGAAAAGACCCAGCAGCGGCGCAAACATGGCCTGGTTGACGGCAGCCATGTGGATCTGCTCGTTGAGCTTGGTGGGCGCGTAGGAGTAGTACATGTTATAGCGGTCTGTGATGTGCTTCATGCACAGGTACAGCAGCCCTGGGGGCCGGAAGATGGGGGCACACTCAGTGGCTGCTCCCTAGGTGGGGCCTGTGCTGTCCCAGTGTCCCCATGGAACAGAGAAGTCAGATTCGGTGTCTGTCAGAGCAGCAAGGGCCAAGGACAGGCTGTGGCAACCGTTGTGCCAACGTCTGGTACCAGCATCTTCCCTTGAACCCCTGGAACCTACTCTGCCAGTCTGGTGAAGAGTCTCCCACTCATGCATTCACTCAACAAACAAGCTATGTAGATAGCCATGCAGCCTCAGCCCCCTGACCTGGCTGTGGCCCTGAGAGCTCCCGCCCTGCTAACAGGGTTTCCTCCTGCTCCAGGATGTGGCCTGATGTTGTGGGGCTCAACTCCTCCTTCCAGTCTGAGGGTGGGCGGCCTTGGGTGGGCCTTAGGGATGACTCACCGAAAGGGACAATGATAGGGCAGGTGATACTGTATGCTATCACGACGCTGAAGACGTTCATCATCCATGCGTACTCTCGCCCATACTGGAATTCTATGGCCTGGTCCTAGGGCAGAAAGTAGGAGTCACCCTAAGGTGGCCCGGTCCCCTTTGCTTGGCTGCTTCTGGGGGTCCTGACCCGCCCTCTGGGAGCTGGTCAGCAGCCTGCTTTCCAAACGTGGAGTCCAAGAAGCACCCACCCCCCTCACCATGCCTCCCATACTTGGTGCTTCCAATGATCCCCCCTCCTGAATACTCCCCCCCATCCAGGGAAACTCTAAGAGCTATGCTCAGGGAAGTGCTTGGACCTCACCTTTCTGATGTGGACTCTCTCTGGCTCCGACCTGGAGAAGAAGAGGCGGGTGCTGTAGAGGAAGAGGGACCCCAGGCGCAACAGCTCCATGCCTGTGCCAAGCAAAGCTGCCGTGATCACGTAGTTGACGAAGAAGGCGCCATTGTCTGGCAGGAACACACACCTGGGTGTGGAGGGGGCAGGCAGCAGCAGAAGCCAGGGGAGAGGGAAAGGGTGGAGGTATTGAGAGGGAGGAGGAGAGAGAGCAAAGAGACAAGGGAGTAGGGATTTCATATTTGAGATTTTCAATGTTTGTAACCTTAACAAAATCAGACTTGGCTGTATGTCCCACACAACCTGCCTGTTGCCTCATCAAGAGGGGGAAAATAAATTTCATATACATGGGCCCCCAGCCCAGTTTAATTCAACAAGGGCCCGTTAAAGCATAGATGGGGATGGTCTACATAAAGGGCAGATATGTTAGGAGATACATGTGTGGGCTGGATATAATTCAAGCTGTTTGACCTGGACGCACCGACCCTGGAGTGTCCACGAGTAGAATGGGAGGGCTCTGTGACCTTGAATGATGAAAAAATTACATCTTTATTTCTACTAACCTCTAACTGCAATTAGCATTTCCTTCCATTAAGATCGTGGGCAAAAACCACAGCCATGTCAGCCATGGCTGTGGGTCTGTCACCCACTGAAATCAGGTACTGTCATGCTATGTTGCAGTCATTGCTGACATCTTACAATATTATCTGTGCTCATCACCATTTCACAGTGATGCTAGTTACCCGACAGGCCTCTAAACTACGCGTGATTGAAACTTTCCTCCCTGTGGACGTGTATTGGATGTCACTGGCCAGTGTCAACTAGGAGTCATTCAGCCACCTAAAGGCCAAGGTGCCTGTTCTCACATTGGTAACCCAGGCATCTCTTGCTTTCCAGTGTCCCTGTCTACATAGTTCTGTCGACTTCCTTGACCAGAGAAATCTGTGAGCCCTGGACATATTTCAGGACTCCTTCAAAAGCTGTCCCCTCTGGGTGGCGTCAGAGCTGTCATGGACTCACAATGCTCTTCTTTCTCATATAGAAACTGTATTCAAGATATTAAATAGCCAAAGATGAACTCTTTCATCTTGGAAAAGACACGCAACTTATTACAATTATAGTTTGCAGGAAGTGCAGAAACCTTGGACCGTTCTGGTCCTTGCTCTACAGAGCAGGCTATGGAAGCTTGCATGTCATTTGCAACATTACACCTTTGAAAATTGGAATTTTCAATTTTTGTAACGCTGAAAATAAAAAAACTGAAATTGGCTGGATGTCCAACACGACCTGCCTGTCGCCTTCTCAAAGATCTTCCCCACCTCAATTTAATATTCTTCTTCCAGCTAATTAACATCAGCTTTCACGCTGAGGCCTTTAAAACAATAAAAGGTAAGTTTAGGTAGCCTGTATTTAAATGTGTTGTCCTGTTGTTAAATGTGTTACAAAGATCATGTTACAAATTTGATTTTTAAAATATTTGAAATATTTGATATATTGCAGTGTAATTGGTGTAATCCATGTATTTTGTGTATTTAAAGATATCTACTCAGAGTCTACGTATAACTGGCAAAATCTGAATAAGCTCTGTGAATTGTTTTGATTTCCTGGTTATGATACTGTACTAGTTATATAAGATATTACCATTGGGAGACACTGGAGGAAGGGTACACCAGCCACTTTTAGGGACCAATTTCCTGTGAATCTACATTTACCTTAAAAACTTCCAGAAGGGGTCCCAGGGCTTTACCAGATTGCCAAAGGAGCCCATGGCACCGGAAGGGTAGGAGGCTGCCTAGTGAGAGTGCCCGTGTGCCCTCATTCCACCTGCCTCAGCGAATGACAGATACGCACGCCCGCCCAGCTGGGGCCCGCCGAAGCCCCCGTGCGCCGTGGGAGTACTCACTGGAACCTGATGGATGCCTCTTCCAGGTAGTAGATGTCAAAGAGCCAGCGGAAAAAGACGTCCAAACTAGAAGCAAGAACAAGGCAGGCCCTTTAGTTAATGAATTTATGAACTAAAGCCTGGGGTTCATTTCCTCTTGACTGGCTTCTCTTGCCCAAGCCCCAAAGACTCTTGCACCCTAATGTTCTAGCTGGCCAGGCCACACCACCTCTCTTCCTTCTAATGCTGGGCCATCCTGCCCCTAACCCTCTGGCCTTTCAGCTCAAGGCCACCTCCTGTAGCAAAATTTCTCCAGCTATTTCTCCCACAGTGCTCTCTCCATCTTCTGAATTTCTGCTGCATGTTGGCGGCATTTTCCCCATCTTGGGCCAGTTAGCTGCCAGGCATGGGTGGTCACTGCAGCTCGATGGTAAGCTCTTTGAGGGCAGAGTTCATGGCTGACACCTTAGAGTTAGCATGATACCTGGGACATGCTAGGCTTATGACAGGCACTGGACTGTCAACTGAGGAATGGGTTTGCAGCAGCCACAGGGAGACCTAGGGTATCTGAAAGAGGAGGTTCCAACTCAGAGGTGAGCCGGGCAGAAAGAGGAACAATATGAGGGGAGGTACCTAGTCAGTCCCATAGAGGGCAGAATGATCACCATGAACACCAGAAAGATGTAGCACTTATACACTATGATCAGATTCTGACTTGACCTGGAAGGAAAACAAAGAAAGAGATACATCCATGAGTGAGACATGCTAGGAGCCAAAGGCTTAAAACTACAGGATGAATAGAAAGAGAGAGACCACTACATAGCCTAGAAAGTTGATTTAATAGCAGCAGGACAGACTAGCATGATCAACTAGTGACTTCTGACCTGGGCGCTGGAAGGGGAGGCATATGTGCCATGTATGTGACATCTGTTAAAGGGACATGACTGAGGATACTCAGAATCCCTTTATAGTGTCAATAATTGACATAAGCCCTATTCTTGGCTATAGGGGAGATCAGTAAGGATATGTTAGGACAAACCTCCTGGCTTGCTGCCTGGTAGGATGGGAGGAAGTTTTGGTGCAGGAAATAGCTTTTGAGACCCATGTAGCCTTCAGGCCAAAGCAGGTCCACCTGCGCTATAAGAATATAATAAACACTATCTATCCAATTAGTCACTATAGAACTATTAGGGCTAACAAAGGGGAAATAGTTCCTGACTGTTTGAAAGGCAGGCACTCTATGGGCTACATGGGTCTACAGTCAGTCTGTGTTCATGGGCTCCTCCGCTATGGCCTGGTAGCCTTCCCGACATTTTCCAAGCAAGCCCTGCCCTCTCCCTTTCAGCCCGTGCCCTTTGCCAGCACCTCTGCCCACAGCTCCCTCCCCTCAGTGCGTGGCTGGGACGGAGGGAGCTGTCCAAGGATGCTTAGTTTTGGCCCCACATTCTTTATATGGTGGCCCTGTCACAGCATCCTTGAGGCTAGAGGACAAGAGAACACCCAGTCTCCCCTTTTGGGATGGTTTCAGGTACCTAATTTCATTCCATAGGCCAGATGGGAGGACAAAGAATCATGCTGGTAGGCAGTGGGGGGCTGGCAGGGGAAGGGCTGGGAAGAGCAGGCGTAGGAGAAGGGGCCCCAGCTCACCTGGTCCAGTGGGCCTCGAGGAAGGCAGAGAGGTAGACAATGAGAGGCAGCGTCACTGTAAAGGCCCAGAGCAGCAGGGAGGGGAAGAACTGGGTCACGATCGGGCTCTGGAGGGGTGGAGCCGAGGAGGGCAGAGAGACATCAGTGTGAGAAGGCCCGCTCTCCTCCTACACCGCCTCTGCCTCCTCCTGCACATCTGGCCTCCTCCCCCGCTCGGTCCCAGAGCAGCCCAGGCCTCCCAGAAGCTGCACAGTAGGCCTGGCCTTCCTCACCTGCCTTACTGGCCACTGGTCTGCCTGTCTGGGGGAGGGTGGAGGCTGATACTCCAAGGTTAAGCGGCCCCCTCAAGGGGCACAGACCTATGCTGAGGTCACTGGAGGGGAAGCCCGGGCCAGAGCCAGCTGCTGTCACTCATGTCTCGTACCTCGGGGAGACGGCACTGTCTTTAATGTGATGCTGTGTGAGAAGTGGCGAGAAGGGGGAAAGGGATGTGAATAAAGAATCCCTAGGGAGAAAGCTGTGGCGCTCCTGCCTGGAGCCTATTGTGAAGATGACAAAGGAGGGCAAAAGCAAGCAGCAGCAGCAGCAGCAGCAGCAGAGAGAGAGAGAGAGAGAGAGAGAGTGTGTGTGTGTGTGTGTGTGTGTGTGTGTGTGTGTTGCTAGAATAGGGATGAGGATAACCTGGAAAGAGAGGCCTTCTAGGTTCAGGGCGACAGCCTGGAGGCCGTAGAATCTGGAATGGGCCAGTACGGTTCCTGCAGGGCCCCGCACTCCCTTCCTGGATGGAGTGTGTCTGGAAGTGAGGGGCCCGGAGCCAGGTCTGGGGTCTTGCTTCTCCCAGAGGGCTGTGTTGGAACTTGCCTCACTCTTCCCCACCCTCAACCCGTCCCTCAAACATGGGTCCCAGCGCTAGAGAACAGAGCTGTCCCAATGGCCGCATCCTCTGCGGCCCCTTCTGCACCACTCGCGGGCCAGGGTGGCTGATTGAAAGAAGCCCTCAGAGCCCATGTTGGGCTGAACCGCCCCTGCCCCCAAACTCACCCCAGAACCTGCCTGCAGCTCCCCCACTCTCTCTTTGCTCTCCAGTCCCAGTCCCTAAGATGGGCAGCCACTTGCTACCATCCCCTTAGGAACAAAGGAAACGCAATGCCGCCATTTGCACTGCTGCCACCTCCTGCACACGGGCTTCGGAGCTGTCTCCGTGGGCCCCCCATTCCATCCTCGCCTGAGCTTGTCCTTCACCTCACTGGGTGTCCCATGCCTGGCCTGTGTCAAGGAGGTACCTGCAGCTTCTCGATGGGGCGAGTGACGTTGTACATGTCGATGGTGTTGATGATGATGGCAGGCGTGGTGAGGAAGAAGAAGAGGAAGAAGAGGAAGGTGTTGATTGCGATGAAGCGGGCCCACCACTGGAAGCGGCGGGTAGACAGGTGTTTCCTGGGGAGGGATGGAGGAAGGAGGTGCCCTCAGGACCCTGGGTCCCAGCCCTTGGATAGAGCCCACGCACTGTTTCTTGCAGGCCGGCAGTGGACCCTGGCTGCCCTGGTCTAATTCAGCCCCTTGGACCTAGACCTTCCCTCAATCACACCATTTGTAAAAGCTCTGAATATATCGCAAAGGTGAATGAAAAACAAACAAAAAAAAATAGCTGAGATCTTTCTGCAGGAAAAACCTTTTCCCCAAGGGCTGGTGCCTTCCATACTTATGGTGGGCTTGGGGGTGGGCAGAGGCTGCGGTGATCAAGAGAGGGCATGCCCAGCCCAGTGGGGCCGTAAGTGGGCAACAGAGTGGGAGGGGAGGCCCTGGTTCCTTTCCCCGTCCTGTTGCCATTGCCTTCTTCAGTCTCAGCGGAGCTCAAAGGAGAGGGGACGGGCAGGGGGGCTTACCAAATAATGTCTTTGGGGTGTGGGGCAAGGGCCACCCTCCAGTTGTAGGATTTGACGATGGTGGTCACCGAGGACTGTTGGGGGTACACACCACACTGGATGTACTTGTAGTCCTCCAGGATGCTGCGGAGACGGGGGGAGGAGACAGAAGCCTGGGGGTGAGGATGACAGGCTCGGAGGGGCCCCGGGCCAGGGTTCCATAGGTGGGGCTCATACACTTCCTGGGGCCTCTTGGGGTCTTGGATATGTCTCCCGGGACCTTAGAGTGGACAGTTCTTGTGGTCTAGTTGCAGGAGGACAGGGGCATTAGAGAGAGGGACTGCCCTGGATGGGAGAGGACCACGTGGTTCCCAGTTAACGTCCTAGACCCCTAACAGCAGTGAGCACACAAAGACATGTTCTTTCTCTGAGCTTGACAGGAGAGGTACTAATTTCAGCCTCATCTAAACATCAATGTCCAGCGATCACTGAGCTCTTCCTGTGTGCCCAACACTGTGCTGGTTGGTGATGAGCATAATCTCAATTGTGCAGATTACTATGTGAATTAAGGTGCCTGAAGACAACCAAAGAGGGGCACGTGCTGGCACCGGAGCCCCATCTCCGACCTTTTCATTCACACTTCTGCTGTGATTAAACCTCACATCCTCTCTACTGAGTGACAATGTCTCAGAAAACAAGCAGTGTCGTCTTATGTAGGTGTATTGCTTTATATAACACATATACACTAATTAGAACATCTATCCCTTCTTAACCTTCTGGGAGGTGGACAAGGAAGATATAAGTAACCAAATTTAACACATAAGAAACTTGAGAGTGTCAGTGATGTGCTAAATTGCACATGATTATTTGTGACTCAATTCTAGGCTGTTCTACTCTTCCTGTACAGGGCTGGGTGGGCGAGGACAAGGTGTTGGACATGATCAGGCTCCTTGGGGAGAGGCAGGCCCCCACAATCCTCAAGAGACTGATTCAGGGGCTCTCATCTATTTGACCCAGTCCTAAGGATCCTTCTAGAACATTCCAGAGTGGACCCGATCCATTCCCTATCAAGGTGGGGTACCAGAGGCTGGGCAAGGGGAGAGGAGGCTGGCAGCAGGAGAGGAGAAGTGGTGAGCTGAGCTTCTCTGCCCTGGGGGAGAAGAGGGGTGATGTGTGATGAGAGAGAAAATGGGTATCATTCTTGTCCCAGAAGAGGGACCAAGAGTTCAAAGGCTACACCTCTGTGATGAAGCAAGGATGTATGGGAGTGAGGAGCTCAGGGTCTGATGTCTCTGAGGACAGGCAGCAGGGAGGGGAGGAAGGGATGTGGCCATGCTCTGGAAATCAAGATGGCAGCTGCCTGTGAGGAGCGTGGACGGTAGAGGGGAGGTCAGGGTATGGCAAACTGGACAGAGCCTCGCTCCTCCTTCCCTTGGCTGAAATGGGGGTGAAGGAGGGTGGCTTCAGAGAAGCAGAGGCCCACTCTCAGGGCTGGGCTGGGCTGGGCATAGCAAGTCACTAGCCCTCCACTCACTGGTTCGTCATCCTGGTGTCCTGGAAGGTGACAAAGATCAGATCCAGACGCTTCAGCCGAACGCGGTTGAACTCAGCGTTGAACTCATCAGTCAGCTGTTCCTCCAGCTCACTATAATACTGCTCTGCGTCCACCTGGGGTGAGATGTGGCCTTCAGAGCTGGTGAGGCAGAGTTCCAGGACGCCAGCACCCAGACACAGGGCCTCCCTCCACTCGGAAGCCCGGGGACAGTGGGCCCGAGGCCTCAGTTCCACCTCCAGCTCCCTCTGAAGTCTGGCTCAGGACCCCAGGTGGGCTGTAAGAACCCAACTGTAGAACAAGAGAGGCTATGACTCCAAAATTAGCCCTCTGCTCTCAGATCTTGGAAAAGTGAGGCATAGCTGGAGGTTACAGGGTGCTTTTGACTTAGGGTGAACCCCAGAGGAGTGAAAGGATGTGTTTGCAGCATTTTCAGGAAAGGGGGATGACGCTTTCTCTGGACTAGAGTTCAGGGCTGTCCTGAGGCAGGTGTTCGAGTCTTGAGGCTGCCTTTTAGCCACAGGGGGCGGGTGATAAGATGGAGCCTCCCATCTTCAAATGTTCCTATCCTATCTCTCTGAAAGCCTGAGGCCTGGCAGGCTGTAGCAGCCCACTGTATTCTCTCTGGTCCTCCCAACCAAGATGGGAAGGGGGCCAGAGCAAGCCTCCCTGATGGCTCTGGAGGTGGCCCAGAAAGGCTTCAGCTCCTCTGCATTCTCAACACGGTGGCAGGCTGGGTGGGAAGAAAGGGAGGAAGGTGCTGCGGCCCCAGAGCAGACTGAATGCAGCCTGGGGCCTGAGGGTGCAGGCAAGGGGCACTGCCTGGGACCCAGCCAGAGCCTGGAGACCCAGCCCCCCAGCCCTTCCTTTGCTGTGTCCCCAGACACCGGCGCCACTGACCTCTTTGAAGCAGATCCAGCACTTGCAAAAGCAAAGGCGGGAACAGGGGTGGGTCTTGATCATCACCTTCCCATTCTTCTTGGCCTTGGCTGTGTAGTAGAGCCGGCCCCGCATCGCATGGCGCCTGTCAGCGGGCAGGCAATGGGGGTGAGGGGGGGTCTTGTGGTCAGGGGCCAGCAGGGTCACATCCTCCACTTCTGCCCCCACCCCAGATCCAGATAGGCCCCACTGGAGACTCACCTCTGATCATCCAAGTCAATCAGGTTCCTGACATCGTAGCAGAAGTGGACTCTGGTCACTACACAGCCTGGGTAGGCCTCGCTGTAGCCACAAACAATGGATGCTGAGCCCACTGTGGGGCTGGGGATGTGTCCCCCTACCCTGTACCCAGAGCTACAGCCCACAGGGCTGGGTGCTCCACTGCCTGTGGTTCCCCGTTCTCGGGTGGGGAGTCCAGCTCTTGCTCCTGAAACCAAACTTCCGGGTTGATCCCTGGTAACCTGAGAGCGGCCACATCCTCCCCAGAGGACCCAGAACAGGGCCAAGGGGCAGAGCTGGAAATTGCTGCTCATGGAGAGATAACTAGCTCCTGAGGCTGGGAACTTGGGTCGCATAAGATGAGTTAAGAGGACCTATTCTAGATGGCTGTGGTCCAGGACCTCCCTGGGCTCAGGGAGCAAAACGGGAAAGGAAAACTAGCTTCCCCGCAGCACCCATGCCATGCAGGGAATCCCTGACTTCAGAAGCCCTGACTTCAGGCTCCCCCATTCTGAGAGCCTGACCCTTAGCCCAGTCCAGGGCTAGCCTCCACCCGGGGTGTCTCTCACCCTACGCGCCTGTGCTCACTCGCTACCCACGTAAGGATCCAGGCAGGGTGACCGGGAGGAGGCAACCCATGCTCAGACCACCCAACCCACTTACTGAAAGTGCTTAATGATGATTTCTGGGTCTTGGATGTCTCTGGGGACATAGGTAATCATCAGTGTCCTTGAGACCTAGGTGGGGAGGGTAAATGGAGAAGTAAGCCTGTGCATACACGGGACGCCTGGATGTCGGGGCTTTGGGTGGCTCAGAAGCATCTGGAGCAGGCCTCCTTCTTGCCACACAGGGCAGGCAGAAGCACTTGGGGTAACCATTCAGGGGTATGAGGGTTTGGGGTCTGGGGCAAGGTAAAGTCAACCAGTCGATTAGGATGGGTGGCCTCAAAGGAGCTGATTCCACTCACTGAACCTCTGAAAGGCTGAGGGCAGGAACCAGGGATGGTCCCCTCCATGGCTTCCCTCCCCCACCGGAGCCAGACAGCTCGCAGGCCCCTTTCAGTGCGGTGCCCGCCCACACCCTCCAGGTGCTCTCTCATACCCCAAAGATGCCTGAGCAAGGAGGGGGTGGGGAGTTAAAGCGCCCAAACGCAGCCTCAGCCAGTGATGGACAGGGAGCTGGTGGGACAATGCCCCCAGCTGCTCCCCACCAGGCTGGGAAACTCCGGGGCACACGCCCTCCTCCAGTACTCAGAGCTCCCCACGGATTAGGCGCCAGCTCCCACAGCGGCGAGTTGCCCCTTGCCACCCCCCTTTCATCCGAGGCCTTCTCTCCCAGTCTCACTGCCCGCCCCCCCCACCAGGGGTTTTTCCTGGGATCGCCTCCCAAATAAACCGATGCTACTCAAATCCCTGTCTCAGGGTCTGCTTCGGAGGCAGGGTCGGGGGGGGTAACCCAAACCAAGACAGTGGGGAGACACGGGGGCTGAACATAGGGTCTCTGACGTCAGGAAGATCTGGAAGGCCAAAAAGCTTGGGCACGGCTGCAGTAGGTAAGACTAGTGAAAATATTTAGCCTGTGCTTCGGCAGGGGGCTCTGGCCCTTTATGATGCAGGGCCCTGCTGGTCCAGGGGGTTCTTAACTTTCGAGTTTTTGGATGGTGAGGAGGTCCAGGGGTCCTTGGAGAGGGGGCAGGGCCGCAGGGGTGGAGGGGTAGGAGGCACCTAGGAGCAGCTATTTACCAACGAGTTCAGAAGTGATTCAGTGGTTTACCAACTGGGTTGGCTGTGCAGGGGCGCCAGGTGCTGATTCACAGGGCTAAGGGGGGAATGCTCCCCATGGGTGTGTGGGATGTACCCAGCTGGGAAGCCTCTGAAGCTGGGAGGGGGAGGTCCCACTGGGGAGGGGCTCTAGCTCCAGGGGCCTGTCCTGGGAGCTCTCTTCCTTACCTTGGAGCTCTTCTTGGGCACAAACCCTGAGCAGTGATGAGTCATGAACAAGAGGTTGGTGATGAAGTAGAGGAAGGACAAGAAGCTGTGCAGCCACAGGACTTTACTCCTGCCAGGAGCAAGACACAGGAGGGTTAGACCCCCTCTCCCACCCACGCAGTCTCCCCCAACCCGCCTCTGGTGCTTCCAGACACTCAGGCACCTGGAGGGGATGGCAGTGGCGTGATGAAGGTGCCCCACTGTAGCTAAAAAAGGTTAACTTTTACTGAGTGCTTGCCATATGCCAGACGCAGGGTGGGACTAGATGTTTATATACATTTTCTCACTAGACTCTCATGCCATGTGAGGGTGGCGCTGTGAGTATCTTTATTTTTACTCCTAGGGAAATGAGGGTCAGGGTGGTAGGTGATTTGCCTGAGGTCATTCCTAGCCGCAGCAGAAGCACTTAGACTTTACTGCTATGTCACCGCTGTGTCCTGCTGCCAGCAGCGGCAACTCAGACCTACACAGCCACCTGACCTCTGGCACGAGGAAGTCTGGGGTCGTACACAGGTCTGGAGGAAGTGGAGGAAGGAGGACCCAGCAGATTGGCGGCACCTCCCTTGGGGCAGGAAGAGTGGTGGCGCTCGGGCTATGGGCTCACGGGACACTGTCCCAAGGCATCTGGCCAGGATGATTGTTCAGAAATAGGGCCCACCTTATTTGGTGCGGTTTGAGAATAGAAAGGCTGCCTTGCTTCAAAATACCCCCTCGCCACTTGTGCCGGCGCCTGACCTTTCACCTAGCGTTCCTCATCTAGCTGGACGCTCCATATGCCATTTCCTCAGAGGGGGTCTCTAAGGAACATTCCAGCTCCCTGCCAGCACAGATTCATGAACGTTGAAGGGGCTTTGCTGCCTTATATGAAATTGTTGGGAAGGTGTGGGTGTCTCACGCCAGGGCCGGCCTGGGGAGAAGCCGATAAGCCCTGCTCTGGGGTCGGCGGCGCCCCAGGCGGAGTTGGCGGAAAGGGAGGTGAGAAGAGGCCACGGCCGCATTCTGCTGACTGGGGGGTTTGATGGGTTGCAGGGGTGCAGAGGCAGCAGGGCCGGAGGCAGGGAGGGCAGGCAAGAGCGTGTGAACCTCCACCCACACCTGCTGGAACTGCTGTTTCCCCTTTCTCAGGAAGTTGGCCGAGCCTGGCCAAGACACCTGGTGGGCCCATTTTCTCAGCGTGAACCAGGAAGGTTCCATCTGGCAAAGTGATTTGAACACCTATTGGGTTGGTCGATGTTAAAAATCCATGGTTCCTGGACCATGAGGGCTGGAGGGGGCTTAGATCATGTCCAACAGCCCTTCCACCACTACAGACTAGGAATGAAGCTCAGAGGGGCAGAGGCGCTGTGCCAGGCCCAGGCCCAGCTCATGGCAGAGGCTGGGCATGAACCCAGGTTCCTCCATCTCTGCACTGTGGGAATCGGGTCTGTGCTTCACTCAGTTGCCTGGCACTATTTTGAGGGCAGGGAAGCAATACCTTAAGCCTCTACGTGTTATGCGGTCATCGCCTGTTGGGAGCTGGACATACTGAGCGAATAGGGCCCTCTCTCCAAGCCTTCAGGAGTGGCTGGGTTAGGTCGTTCCACTCATTACAGAGACACTCATTACAGGGAACACGGAGGCACCAAGAGTTTTGTTCCCTCCAAGAGAATACAACTTCTGGCATCTCACTTAGTGCTTGGGTTCCCAAGGAAACCAGGCCTTTCTTATTAGCCAAGAGGTACCCACATTATGGACCCACACATTGGACCTTCTGTTGCCCACCAACACCCCCAGCCAGTAGAATGGGAGGTAAGAGGATCAGGTACCTACTCTGTGGAGACATTGACGATGGTGGTCCGACCGAAGTGACTAGTCCAGTCTGAAAGAGAAGAAAGTTGCTGACGTCAAGCCTGGCTCCTTGTGGGGTGCCAGAATTCAAGGTGCTCAAGCGAGTGCCCGGACCTACGAGTTGCTCTTCCTTCTAGTTCCCCAAAGCTTGTCCTCAACATCCAACAAATATAGCAGAGGCCTCTCCTTCTCCCTGGGTCTGCTGACTGGGGCTCCTCAACCAGGAAGCTAAACCCAGCCTTCGTGTGGCCCCCCTAGTGCTTAACCGACACATAACTGACACCCGGTAAATGCTTGTTGAAACAACCTGAAGTCCTGCCTTGCGTGGAATGATGACTTAGCAACACCATTACCACTGGCAACAATTACAAGAACACAAGACTCCAGAAAATGGGATGCTCCCTCATTTGGACAGAGTAACTCCTCTGGCAGAGTGTACTAGCTTGTCACTTTAGACGCCTCCAGGTTTTGTGAAATGTTTTTAGAAATCCTGCGTTCTACTGTCATTGCTGCCACACTAGCTTATGATGAGAATCTGGAAAGACCAGATCAGAAGTTGTTTGCTCTGGTAGTGGTGTCTGGTGGCATGTACACTGCGTGTGGTGTTGAGTTAACTGAGGTCTACCTCTGGCCCAAGGAGAAAGAAGTAGAAGCTGGAGCAATCAGGTAAAGCTGGTTGCCACCTGGGCATTTAAGGTGCAATTCTATACCACCTAGTTGTACAGCCTTCATACAGCTCTATCCATATTCCTATTTCTAAGTGAAACACTGGTTGTTACTCATTGAGCACCTACAGCACCAGGCACCGTGCCACATACTATCTTTTCATCTACATGACAGTCAAGGAAACCAGGGCCTGGGGAGATTGATTTACCAAATATAAGATTACATAATTTGCTAGACTGGGCAAGGGAGTTTCTAGGAAGTGGATGTGGGAATCAAGATTTTTGTTTGTTTGTTTTCGAAGCCCAAGCCCTTACCCACGATGTTATTTTGTCAAAAGGACTTAGCCCATTACAACAAGCATGGGAAGATGCCTTATGAGACAAATTCTGCATTTACAATCTGTGTCCATCGGAATGGGTACAATTAGGTACAGGTACATGTCATAAAAAGGCCTCCAGGAATACCTGGCCAGGTCTGTGCAACATGGGGTCATAAGTAAATACTCAGTTCTAGACTGAATTACTACTAGGTGTCTGCTAGGCGCCAGGCCTTGGATTAAACTTGTGACAAAGGAGGGATCATCTCCATTCTCCATGTGAGAAAACTGAAGCCCAGGTTGCCTAAGTTACATAAGTAATTATGGGAAGTGGCATTAAAATGTAGATGTCTAGACTCCCAGGGCCCACGCTCTGTCCCGCCTACTAGCCCAACTCTGAGGTCTAGTGACCGAGGCCCAGGGCTCTGCCTACCTAGCACGTTCCCCGTGTAGTTGATGGGCAGAACAATGCCCAAGGAGGGGATGCAGAGGATGAGCACAAAGACGATGAGATGGTACTGGAACGTGATGTAGATGCGGGCATCGTCTCCACATTTGCTGATCAGATCTTCGTTCCTGGAAGAGACACAGACAAGGACATTCCTCAGGAGCCAATGTGGCCACAGCTGAAGTCAGGGGCAGGGGAGGGGTAGAGGAAAGGGAGAGAAGATTACCAGCTTAACCCAAGTTTGAATTTTTAAAAGAAATATCACCATTCTTTTTAAAGCCTCTGCTGTGCCTGGAACGTACTTCACTGAATTTCACAGGCTTATCAAAGACAGAGGCTATATCACACTTAAGAACACAGAAGCACTCTTGAAACCAAGCATTCATTCGGTCTTCTACTGTGTTTTCAAATATTTTGCGTGCTGGCTATGGTGCAGGCAATGGACAAATCACTATGATATCAGGGTGCATCTTATTTTTAAAAAGTTTTTTCTTTTAATTCTTAAAACAAAAAAGAAACATTTAAGATCACAATGAGATATCACTCCAGACTGCCAGACTGGCCAAAGTAAGAAAGTCGGACAACATCAAGTGTTGGGAAGGGGAGGAGGCCCTAGGAGCTCTCCCACACTCATGGGTACACTCTTTGGCACAGCCCCTTTGGATAACAGTGGGTGTTACCTACATAAATGGAATATATGCCCACCCTATGGCCCAGCCACTCCATTCCTAGGTTTATATCCAACAGACATACATTCACATGTGCATCAAAAAACATATATAAGGACTTCATAGATGCATTATTTATAATAGTCCCAAACTGGAAAAAACTTCATTGTTTTTTAAAGGTGGAATGGACATAGGAATTGTGAGATATATATCTAGTGATATATCTATTGTATAGATATAAAATAAAATGCTATACAGAGATAAAAATGAATGACCATAGCTGAACCTCACAAACACAGTGTTGAATGAAAGATGCCAGGCACAAACAATACAAAGTTCAGAAACAGGCAATATTGAGCCATAGATTTAGAAGTTGACATACTGGTTACCTTTGGAGGGGGGTGATAGGGAACTGGGAGGGAGCAGGAGGGGACTTCTGTGATGTTGGCAATGTCCTAATTCTTGATCAGGATGATGGTTGGATAGGTTTTGCGCCACGATAACTGATCTGGACACTTATTTTTGTGCACTTTTCTGTGCATATGTTACATTCCAATAAAAAATTGACAAGCAGCCCTGGCTGGTGTGGCTCAGTGGATTGAGTGCCAGCCTGTAAACCAAAAGTTTGCCAGTTCCATTCCTGGTCAGGTCACATGCCTGGGTTGCAGACCAGGTCCCCAGCGGGGGGTATGCAAAAGGCAACCAATCGATGTGTCTCTCACATATGACATCGGTGTCTCTCTCCCACTCTTTCTCTCTCCCTTCCCTGCTCTCTAAAAATAAATAAATAAAATCTTTAAAAGAAATTGACAGGCAATACATACTTACTATAGACATTTTGGAAAATATAAAACAGAAGAAAATCATTCACCTAGAGTCTCACCCAACCAAAGACAATGACTATGAAGCCTTTGGGTTGATTTCCTTGTTTCTTGTGCAGGTTTAACTTAATGGCCGTAGTATAAACAGCGTTTGCCGTCTTGGGTTTTTTTTTTTTTTCTTTTCTTTTTTTAGCATTTACTCTTAAGCCTTTTCTGACCATTTTACCTGTTTGTCTGAATGTTTTCACTGCCACACTGTAGTAATGGTGACAGTGGCTTCCGTTTATGGACACAGGTTCATGTTCAGCATCATGCTGGTCTCCCCACCCCGCTGGTGGCTGTGCCAGAGTTTACTCACCCTTGCCCTCTGGGCACGCTTGTAGGTGAATGCAACTTCTAACACCCAGTCCAGAACTCAGATTTATTTTTAAACAATACCACAGAGAGTATATCTTCAAGGCTTTCAAAATCCCCATTTAGGGAATTATTGAGAGCTCTTGATTTTTTAAAACTGCAAGCAGTTAAAATACTTCCTGCCCTGGACTTGAGAATTCAGTCCTAAGGAGGAGAACTGGTGAGAAGTCAGGGAGGGAGAGCGGGGTGGGGGGGTGTCCCGCTGCAGGCTTGGGTGTCACGACCTGGTCACTTGACAGGAACAGTGTGTCTGCAATGAGGTGGGTCCAAGGCAGCCTCCCATCATGTGGAGGGACAGAGCTGGACAGGATGGATCAAGAACGCAAGACTTTCCTTCCTCGGCTGGCAATCCCTGCTTCCTGCGGTGGCCCCCAGGCTCCACCTCCACCAGAAGCCCAGGTTATACTCAGCAGTTTCTTTTACGGTTTCAAGGGAAGCCTGTATTTTTGGGTCTGTCTATATTCCTCGGCTCAGTTCTTTCCTCTTTCCACTACTCTTCCAAGTGCTACCTCCATGGCATTCCAGCCACCCCTCTCATTCCAACTCACAAGTGTCCTCATCTCTGCCTTAATTAATCCTCTCCCTGTCCCTTCCTCTTTCTGGCAACTTGCTGTATCCTTCTCCCTTGTCTTTAAGTTAACATCCACCTCTCTCTACACCCACCCACACTCCTTCCCCTTAAACTGCAACCAGGTTCAAGTGCCCATTTGTTACTCTAAAATCAAACAAGAACCGCCTCGAGCATCCACTCCCTGACCTGTTGCCCCTCAAGTTCTACCCACTGTCTTCACTTCCCTCTTCCCACCCACATCTTGAAAAAAGTGACCTTCTCTGCTCCACTTCTTGGATCTCTCCTTTTCCTGGATCTGCCCTCCCCACGGAGACCCAAATGGTCACAGCCAACGACCTGTCCTTAGCTCCTCTTCCACTCTGCAATAGAGGTTGCTGGCCACGTGCTTGCGGGAGCCACCAGGCGCTTGCGTGGCTCTGGTGAGCACACATACCCTGGAGGTTGCCACCTCTTCCCCCTGCCCCAGCTACACTCTCTTGGGCCTCTTTTTGTCTTGTCCCCTTGAGTGATCCATTTGCTCCCATGACTTCAACTACAGCCTCTGTGCGCCTGTCTAAATTGCTAGCTTCAACCGTTCTCCTAGGTTCTTGTCCTGTTTTTTTCAATGGCTTGCTGGCCAACTCACATGCTTGCCCTGGCCATGTCTCATTATTTTCCCAACTCAGTGTATCCCATTATCTTCCAACTAGTGGCATTACTACTTTCCCCAGAAACCAGACTTTGATCTCTCCTCCCTCTTTCTTAACCAGGTGGAAGCCAGGTGGAAACCATGGCCCACTGACAGCAGCCCTGTGACCTCTCTCCCCTAGGCCTCCTCCCCATTGTTTCCCCGCTCACCACCTCTTTCACCTGGACACTGGGGAACTCTCCTCAGCTGCTCACCTTGCCTTCAAAGTTTACCAGCTGCCATTCACCGGCCTCTGCCCCCCATAATCCTGCCTGTAAACAGACACCATCCTGAGTTTCCTGCTCAGAAATAGTAATTGCTGCCCTGGCCGGTGTGGCTTAGTTAGTTGGAGCACTGTTCCATAAACAAAAAGTTGTGGGTTCGATTTCCTGTCAGGGCACAGTCAGGGCAGCCTAGGTTGCGGGTTCCATCCCTGGTCTGGGTGCGTACGGAAGGCAACCAATCTATGTTTTTTCTCTCTCCCTTCCTCGCTCCCTCCTCTCTCCCTCTTAAAAAAGAAAAAAGCAATGGAAAAATGTCCTCGGGTGAGAATTAAAAACAAAAATAGTAATTGCTCTCTACTGCCTCAGTATGGTAATCAAGATCCCAGCTGATCCTTCCAGCTCAAACTTTGAGCCCTTCTCTTGCCATGTAACCTTGCCTCTAGCCACATCAGAACTGCCATTCTGAACACTCCCTGGCCCTCTCTGCTCCAAACCTTTGTTCATCCAGCCCTTTACTTCTGATGGGCCCTCCACATCACAGCAGACAAAATTCTCCCCACCCTTCAAGGCCTAGCTCAAACCATGCTTCTCCTGACCCTCCTGGTTGGAATTAATTTCTTGCTCTCTTAAATGCTCTTTGCACAGCAATTATAACCTCCCCATTATGAAATTATATGTAGTGAGTCTTGTTAACCCTTTGCTTCTCCAACTAGACTGCATGGCCTTTATGCACTAGGACCCTGGCCTCCTTATCCCTGCTCAGTAAATGTATTAAGCTGTCTTCCAGGCATTGCTCGCAAAGTGAGCAGGCTGCATGGCGCACTGCCCAGCCTTCCTCCCTTCTTGGATAACGTGTTCCTGATGGAGGGGCCTTTGGGCAGGGTGGGGTGGGGATGGGGGAAGAGGATGCTCACACAGACACACCCCCCCCCATACACAGTGGCCTCCTGCTGACCTCCAGGCCCAGGTGTGCACACACGAACGGCGGTACACGCAGACTGGTACCCATGCAGTCACCTGCCTCTTCTATGTCATACTCACATGCACATCACAGCGACACCTACGGCACAGATTGTTATGTTTTACATGTACGCGCCTGCTTCCCAGCACAGACACTGTCTCCCTGCCCTGTGCATGTCCATTGACGTGTCGGCAGACAGCAGCGAAAATCCGGACAGTCGGCCTCAGGCCTGAGGACGTGGGCAGCAAGGGCAGGCCTGTTCATCGTTTCCCCTCCCTCCTTCCCATGCAAAGGGCTGGCTAAACTGCCGTTGCGTCCTGCCCATCGTTCATGAGTTTGCTAAACTCAGGAACCTCGAGCTAACGCATACAGCTTCCCAGGGTAAACAGCTGCAAACGTTCACGTTGCATTATTGGTTATTTTTTTAATACAAAAACAGTTAATGCTTGTCTAAAAGAAAATCAAGTCCCCTTGAAACTGTTGACAGGATTGCCAGAGGGTTTGTGAGGAGGAGCGTGAGAGACTGGAGGTGGACTTTCATGCTTCTCTTAATGACATGTATGCCTGCGAGCTTGTGCATGTTTCAAAAATTAACAAAGCCAAACTAGAGAAGTTGCCAAGAAATAAAAGTCTCCCCTCCGATCCCCCCACCATGTGGCTAGGCTTCCTGAACCATACACGAATTAGCCACATTGCTTTCTGGGGACTCTGGCTGAGTCCGGAAGGAAGGCCACGGGGAGGTCCCCGTCAGTGGAGTTGTAGCTCAGACACCAGAGGCCCGCCGGTCCTGAGCCTGGCTTGGATTCCCAAGGCCCAGCCAGGCTGCCCTGTGCTCCCACAGGGCCCCTGGCCCTTCAGCAGCTCTGGGGAAAGAGAGGTGCCCTGGTGTGGCTCATGCAGGTGGGGGCTTGGGACAATGTGTGAATACTCCCAGCAAAGTCCTTGAACGGAGGGCGTGGAAGCACGTGAAATAGCAGTCCTATGAACCTTTGCAAAGACGCAGCTGAGCAGGCCCTCCCAGGCCCCCTAGAGCAGGTGGCCTCTGAGAGGCAGTGAGGTTGCGCCCAAAGGCTGGCGTCCCCAGGCAAGACAAGGGATCTGAAGGGAGGGTGTGAAGGACGCGCAGGGCACAGTGAATGGGGGATGGTGAGGGAGATCCAGGACTGTACAGGGCTCTGAGGCGGAGGCAGGGCTGTGTGCATGCCTGTGTGTACACACGTATACACATACGTAGTGGGCCACAGAGCTCTGGTCAGTATCTGCTTGGCTGACATGTTTGGCTGGTGTGGGGGAATCAGGACAACACAGGTGACTTGGGGTCTGTCTCCTTGCCAAGTGGGGCCTGGCACTAAAGAGATGCAGGAGATGAGGCGGGCGAGGGGCTGTCTCTCCGTCACCAGGCGCTGATTCACCGAGAGAGGAAGCCTACCTTTCTGCCCAGCGTTTTCATTTTTTTTCCATTTTGACAAATATAATGAGTAGTGGTGGTCACAGAAATAAAGCAAATAGCATGCAGGAAGGATTTCTTTTTCCTGATGTGGAGTTCATAAAAGCATTTTTACAAGCACATGAAAATGGTCCTATTTGAGGGCTGGGGCAGAGACAAAATGGGCTGCGGGCCCTGTCCCGTTCCCATGTCCCCAGCTGCAGCCCCAGAGAGTACCCTTTTCTGAGCCGGCCTGAGGCAGTCCGTGAGGAGTGGGGGCTCAGGCCCTGACCTGGTTGTGCAGGGCTGGAGACTCCGCCCCACCCCCTCCCCCAGATAAGGCGACTCTGCTGTCACAAGCTCAGAAAGCTCTGGCACTTACTTCATGGTGATGGTGTTGAAGAACCAGGAATAGAAGCCCTGGGGGAGAAAGGAGAGAACGCGTGAGAAAATCCAGGCCTGGGCCCGCCCGTCCAGTGGTGGGAACACAGGCAGCGGATGCGTCACCCAAGGCAGTGTCCAAGCAGGGTCTCCTTCTCAGGCAAGAGGCAGCAAGAAAGAGCCCCCGTCCTGGGAGGAAGCTGATTTGCTCTGGCATCAGTGGTGACTGCAGAGAGAGATGTCCTGTTAGTGAGTGACCATCCCTGCCACCTGGTACCCTGCTATAGGAAATGAGTGCTTGGGCTAGAGGGAGAGAAGGGACTCTCTCTGGGGTGGACAGCAGTTGCTTTCCACCTGCCTCTCATTGCTTCCTTTGGGGATGTGCCCCTTCCCATGCACATGGTCTGGTGGGTTGTCCATCAAGTAGGCAGCTGCCACCAATGGTCAAGTGACCAAGGGGACTGTGACCCAAGTAGCGCCGATCAGAATTCTCTTACGGGGACTGATTCGGGTGTTGGGAGAGAGGGCCCCTCTGCCTCTGAGTTCCTGCACCTTGGTAAATACCATGAAGCCTGAAGTGGCTTGATGCCGTTGATGCCCCATGCAGGGTCACATCTGAGAGAAGAAGTCAGTTCGGAAGAGAGAGGACCAGAGAGGGGATCCTGGTGGCGACACTAGGCTTCCTGGATCGAGCTGTACCTGACACAGCTGCTCCTCTCGGACTTCCCCACACTCGAGCCACACATTACCCTTTGTTGTTAACACATTTTTGATCTGGGTTTCTTCTCTTGCACCTGAGGGCCCTGTTGGTGATGCCTGTCTCTTGGGGTCTTGCTGTCTGGGGTTTCTGGGTGGTGGGGAGAGGTGGTCTCAGCCTGGGGCCAGGGCGGGGAGGGAGTAGGGAGGGAGTCGGCCTGGGAAGAGCATGCGTGAGGGCGGGCCAGGAGCCAGGGCTGTAAAAGCAGCCTGATCTGGCAGCTGGTTGTTACCCTGGTGCACGCTTTCTTCTGGGACCCCAGAGGGTTTGTAACACAACCTTAGAAAAGGCTGCAGCTCTTGAGTGGCCCCATTTGGGTCAAGGGCAGGTCAGTGAACCAAGCAGAACCATTGGTTGATGGTCCCCTGGAACCACAGGGACTGGGGAAGGGGTATGTCCCAAAAGGAAGCAAGAGGGACACGCAAACAAGAAAAGAAGGCAGTTCCTTGCTGCCTTCCACATAAGGCCCACCTTCTAGGTCCCCCTCCCTGTGTTGGGTTGATTGACAGTGGGAACCACCAGTTGGGGAGTGTCCACCGCAGGGGCGACCATGTCCCCAGCTACATCCTGGGGCACTAAAATAAGGTCAGATGTTCGGGAATGAGTCAGAGCAACGATGGTAAACAGCAGCATGACGACAGCAGCATGGCTGAAAGGGTCCCCAGGGAGGCGCTGAAGAGCTAGACCGGCGCTGGGCTGAGAGTCCCGTCGCCGCCCCGCCCCGCGGGGGACCCAAGTAGGGTCTCCCCCCACAGCCCACCTCTGCGGCAACAGGGGTGTGATTTCCTGAGAGAACAAGCAGGTTTGCGGGCGGCCCCTCGTGGTTATGTGCAGCGGAGGACGCACCTTCCCCAGCATCACTTCCACCCCTTTGCAGACAGGTGCACGGGTGTTTACCACACAGGGTGCATGCCCGCCCTGGAATTCACACAGGTCAGCACTGTCGTGAAAGGGCAGAGCTGGTAAGTAGCAGTGTGGTAAGTAGAAGATTTTCACTGTGTACCCGTGAAAAATCACATAGACACAGATACGTGAGTGAACACGTGTGGGCCTATCTCCCTCCCTCTCTCTCTCTCTCTCTCACACACACACACACACACACACACACACACGTGCGCGCACGCACATACACACACTCCTGCATATATATCGTAGCTCTGAAAGGCATAACCCATTCAGAAAACTTAGCAGCTGAACCGTGGGCCTGAGAAGCAGATGCCACCTCCCCTTCTCTCCCCACCCATCCAGGAAATGGCCACAGGTTCCCAGGGCCCAGCTCAGGTGTTAAGACCAAATGATAGTGGTCAGTTCCCTGCACCTATCTGGGTGGCCCCATCCTCCCCACTCTGACACAGGGTGCAATGACGGCTGCCCTGATTGGCGGGGGGGGGGGCACGCTGGGAGCCCTGTTTGCTTCCCACACCACTCAGCTCAGATCCACCGTCCTGGCTGGAGCTCTCTCTGCCCTTGTCGACTTTCTGCTCTCTTCAGTTTCGCTGCCCTTAGCTGCCATAACGATTTCTCTTCTTAGGTACATTTTAAATAAAATGATTTTTTTTTGTCATTTTAAATTTAAAAACCAACAAAATTGATGTTTCTACAAAGAAACGCAAGAGCCACCTTGCAAGGTAAGTGTGTCTGTCCTTGTTCTATGGAGGAAGGACTTGTCCGATCAGGAGATCCTGGCAAGTTAAAGGACTTGGCGTCTTGGAGGGATAGCAATGGAAGGAAATTGTTCTATTCACTCACTGGATCCAATAGATCTTTGTTGGAGCCATCTGGACTGGGCGCTGGGACAGCAGTGAGCAAGACCAGGTCAGCGCTGGCTCTCACTGGGAAGCAGGCACACTGGCCTGAGGCGGTAGGTGTATCATTGCAGCCTGCACGAAGGGCGTTGATGAAAAGGAACACTTTTTCCACGGGTGTAGAACAAAAGTCCCAGACCAGGTGGGGAAGTGGTGCTCGTGCCAGTCTGAACAGAGGGTGGTGTGTTGGCTCAGAGGCCAGTGGGGAAGGTGGAGAGGGAAGGGCAGGGGATGGAGGTGGCACTTTTGAAGATGTAAAAGATGGTCGATGGGACAGGGGTGGAGGGGTTGGAAGGAGAATGATAGACTGACCGGTGAGCACGAGGCCAAACCATGAGACCAAAGCATCTGCAATTTATTCCAAGAGTATTAGGAAGCCACTGAAGGTTGAGGCAGGGGAATGGGTGTCCCCGTTCAGGCAGGTCACTCTGGATGGAGCAGGGGACAAGTGTGGACCCAGAGGTCGGTCAGAGCCCACTGAAGTCATCCAAGCAAGAGACTGACAGAGGCCTGAATGGGGGATGGTGGGAGAAGTGGAGAGAAACAAAACCAGGACGGTAAAAGCAACGCAACTTGGTCATGAACTGGCCATGCCCAAGGGCCTGGGCAAGAGCAAGGGCGGTGCGACTGATGGATGGTGGCAAGAGCCTGAGACCAGGGATCTAGGGAGGGAGATCATGGCATGTTTTGGGCAAATTAAACATGAAATGCCTCTACAATACCCATGTGGAGATATTTTGAATATCTCCATTGGATACATGGGGCAGGAGCCCAGAGGAAGGTTTAGCTGGAGATAGAAACTTAGGATGGATCAGTGTAGAGGTGGCAATTGAAGTCATGAGTGTGGATGACATTGGCCAGAGACAGGGAGCGGAGATCGAGCAGAGGGCCTGGGCTTGGCTGCAGGGAGCTCCTGGTATGCAGGGGGGGCCTGCCAATGGAGAGGGACAGACAGAGAAGCAGAAGGAAAACCCAGAGGTGTGCTGTCAACAGAAGCAACCGAGTGCCTGTTCAAGAAGGAAAGATGGTCTACAGGGTCAGCTGCTTCTGAGAGATCAGATGAGATGAGACTTGGGGGGCTCTCTGCAGATATTAACCATATATATAGAATGATGGGGGTGGAAGCCACATTCAGGGGAGCTGAGGAGTGAATGGGAGGTGAGAAAATAAAGACAAGCAAGCGCAGGCGGCTGTGACAGAGCAGAGGGAGACAGGCTGTCCTGGGGGGTGTGGTGGGCAAGGGAACTTTGCTCGGCTCCCTCTCTTCTGCATTCCGTCCCAGCTCAAATGTCATCTTATGCCCCAAACCACCCCCGACCACTGTCTGTAATGCTTCGGCCCTGTTCTGTCACTCTTGAGTGCCTTCCTTGCCCCCGTTTTCCTGCACACCCTTCCCACGGTCCCACATGCGTCTGTCGGAGTGTGTCTCCCACAATGCAGGGCTGGGTCTATTTTATGCGTTGCCCAGGGCCCAGCCCCGAGACCAGTGGCTGGCACATCACAGGCGCTCCACAGCCACAGGCGGAATGCGTAAACAAGCCCCCGTGGAGGACTGGCATTTGACAGGAAGGAGGAGACCGGGCTTTGCTGGGCAGATTGGGTGGCAGGAAGTTGAGGGAGTCTCTACCTGATCTCTCAAATCTTCTGTGTGAAGAGGAAGGTGAGTCCTTGGCTCAGATTTGGGCTGTGAGAAGGGTTTGCGATTTGGGAAGAGTAGACAAGTTAGTTTTTCAAGTCCCTTCAAAATATTAGAACTAGTGAACACTTCCTTGGCATCCTAGGAAGTAGGTACGGTTACTATGTCCATTATTTCTGATGGGGAAACTGAGGCTTGGCAAGGCTGAGGAGCGTGTCCATGGTCACATGGCTTCACGTGCTCGGGTCTGGCTGACCGCAAAGCCCTAGCTCTGAGCGTGTTCCTTCCTGTACACCGCAGGGCTGCTGCCCAGAGCCAGGGCCCCAGCCCCGCCCCCCAGGCCCGGGCCCACCCAGCACTCACCTTGTCCTTGTGTTCCATCTCCAGGGAAATATCCGAGGGAGACGTCTTCTCACTCTGCTCCCCATAAATCAGCGAAGTCAGGCTGTGGGGCAGGAAAGGCGGTGGGGAGGCGGGAGAGGAGAGGAGAAGCCTCAGGTGTTGGCCTGGCTCCTCTCCCGCTCCCCGGCCGAGGTCTGCCGTTGCCTCCTGCCCAGCGGCAGACCTGCCTCAGCTCGTTTGCTGAGCACACAGCTTTGGGGACAAACAGTAATCACCCCTGTTGCCAGGTGCCCAACACATCTTGGGAGTCACAGGATCCAGAAAACCTGAGGTCTCAGAAAAAATTTGCCTTGTGCCCAGAGATGGCCGCCCTCCACGTCACCTTCATGTAGGGAGGACCAAAGCAGGGGAAGGGATGGGTGATGAGATGTCACCTGCGGACGGGATGCCTGCTGCAGCTTGGGCCCTGGTCAGAGCCATGTCCTGGTCACAGCACCTTCCCAAAGGGAGCAAAGCAGCTCTCAGCCTGCCCCCGGCCTCTCCTCACCTGTCATTGTGTATCAGCAGAGCCAGGCGTCCGTAGTCCCACGCAGCTTTCCGCAGGAAGGAGTAAACCAAGATGATGAGCTACAGGCCAGGAAAGGAGATACGGGGCAAGGGAGCTCGAGGGGCCTTCCCCTCGGCTGGCCCCCACATTTCCCTGTCCTTGAGGTCCCCAGGAGCTCCCCCACTAAGTGGCCAGCTCTGCCAAGGTGGGGCCATGCTTTTTCAATTCTGAATTCCCGGGGCCCACCCAGCAGCTTCTTGGCCCAGAGCAGATGTTCAGATGTTTGTTGAATGAAGGTGCTGGTGGTGTGTTTAGAGCTATTGGGAGAGACGCTCCTTGAAGAAATCAACAAGGGCTCTGGCCAGTGGGCCTTTAGACAGTGGTGCATGGAAAACTGCCTGCTTTTCCAGCCCTCTCTTCCCCAACATCCACCTTCCCAGAGCCACCCTGGGTGGGACGATCATTCAGGGAGTCCCCATCACTGTGGCTGGTGCCCATGGGAACAGCCGGGGCCCCTGTTGCGTCACTTGTAAAAGTTCGACTGTTCTCCCCAGCGGAGACCTCACAGTCTGTGTCCTGCAGAGCCCAGGACTCACCACCCACAGGACGATGTTGAGGCACAGCACAGTGGGGATGCCCCCAAAGGGCTGCCCCCGCAGGACGGTGCTCCGAGACTGGAAGCAGTCGGTCGCTGACATGTTCCGTGTCTTTTCCATCACGTTCAGGTGGCCTGGTGAGGCAGTGATCCTGGGAGGCCCCCTGGTGAACATAGGGGTGTCTGGGTCAGACATGAGGAGTCTCTCTCGCTTTGCAAAATGCAGGGGCGTGCCGGGCAGCCGGGGGAGGCGCGCTGTGTGCACGCGAGGCCTCGGGCCCGTGCTGGCTGGTTGAGGCAGGAGGGCTGCCCTCGGATGGTGCGCAGCCCCGTGTGGAAGGGGAAGCACTTCCTCAAACGCTGGGCCGCGATGGCAGGATAGCCCGGATCACCAGGGAGTGTTGGCAGTGTGTAGCACTTGATCCCTTTACGAAAAGAATCATAAAACCCACATCTAAAAGGTCTTCGTGATTTGACCTTTGTAAAGCTGTTCTTCTTCGTAAATGAACAAATTTCACAAAGGTGAGTCGGGTCTCGGAGTGGGAATATGAGGTTTGGAAGGGGAAGCCGCTGCACCCACGGGACCTTCTGCAGACAGGGCTCCCGGGCATTCACCTCAAACATCCTACATTTCTCCGATCCAGGTCCCAGAAGAGACCGTAGCTCCTAAGACTATATTAGATAAGAATGGAGAGTACCTGACTCATAGCAATGACTCAGTAAATGTCACTAATATTGAACTTGAGCCAGGAGATCAGCACCTGCCTATGGACCTGAGCCAACCCAGTGAGCCTGAGCATTTTGGGGAGACCCAGTTGCAGGGTTCGTGGTTACTGGGTCAGCGTTATTCAGGTTTGCACGAGAGTGGAAGGCACGGGTGAAAAACAGAAGTGACTTGTATCTGCTTGTGTTTATCTGCAAAGTTGTCCTGGTTTTAAAAGATCATTTGTTTTGGCTCCAGACCTCATCTTACCTGAAAAACTCTTCATTTCCATTCAGGAAAAGTAGGCTCATCCATTCATGTGACAAATATTTAATGAACAACGCCTAGGCCAAACTAATGCTGGGGATGCATCAGTGAACAAGGCAAATACAATCCCTCCCTTGTGGGATCCAGGGGGGGAAAAGCCATGCGGGATGCGGAGGAGATGAGACTGGTAAAGAGTGGGACTGGGGAAGGCGGCACTGAAGGGACGACATTGGAGCAAAGACCTGAAGAGAGGGAGCAAAGCCACAGCTCCGGGGGAAAGGGCACTTTGGGCAGAGCAGGGGCCCGGGGCTGCCGTGTGGCCGGGTGCTGAGGAAGAGCAAATCGACCAGGGTGGCTGGACGGGGGAGGGTGAAGGAGCCAGGAGAGATGGAGCCAAGGAGACATGAAATGAGTGATGTACTCAAGGTTCACTGTGATCCTTGTATGCGAATAAACGGGGTGGGGTCAAGCAGAGAAGCAGCAGCAAAAAGGTCAGTTAGGAGGAGACTATAGAATGGAAACCCAGGCAGAAGATAACGGTGGCTTGGACCAGGGAGGAAGCAGTGCAGGTGGCGAGACGGGGTCAGGTATTGGAACGATTTTGAAGGTGAAGCCAACAAGGCGCATTGATTGATTGGAGAAGGAGGGTGAGAGAGGAGTCCAGATGACTCCATTTTCGACCTGAGCAACTGGAAAAATGCAAGTGCTGTTACTGGACAGGAAAGATAGGAAGTTCAGGCTGGGACGTGAGCGCTAGTGGGGGAACCCGAGCTGGATCTGGACAGGCTAAGTGGGGCGGCGGAGCCGCTGGATCGACGAGTCTGCAGTTCAGAGGAGAGACTGGAGACATACACACGGGAGGCACCAGCGTAAGGTGACTCTTCTGGCCTAGAGTGGGTCCCTGGAGGAGAGCGAGTAGAGAGAGGTGCGAGATCTGAGCCTGGGGCAGCTCCCCTGTGGAGCAGGAGGAGACAGAAAGAGACTGGGCAGAGCAGCCAGTGAGGAAGGAGGAAAGGCAGGAGAGGGAGGGGTTCTGGAAGCCAAATAAAGAAAATGTTTCCAGGAAAAAGGAGGGACCAGCTGTGTCAATACGGTCCGGTAAGATGACAACCGAGAATTAGCCACAGTTGAAACACCGTAAGTAAAATGCAAATATACAGTGTTCACAGGGGACACAGTATGTTTTAACAGCCTTCTGCCAGAGGACCAGAGGTGCAGGGATGGCAATTCTAGCGTCTCTTGGTGAATGGGGCAGGCATCCAACCCTCCGAGGAAGTCGGTCACCTGTGGCAGGAAGCTACAGTTCTGCTGGTGGTCACTTGGGGGAGCCCGTGTGGAGAAAGCCGGTGGGGAATTGGGGAGGGAGGTGCACCTGGCTGGTCTGAAGGCCTTGGTGAGACTTCCTACCTGAGTCAGTTCTCCAGGGAAGGTCCCGCTCAGGCCTGCAGGCTCCGCTCAGCTACCTGGCTGCTACAAAAGAACAAATACAGTGGGGAGACCATAAAACTTAGTCACCCAGGCCGACTTCTCTGGCGGCAACATCCCTCAGGGCCCCTTTCTTCACCTTGTGCTCTGGGAGCTAGTCCTTCATCACATGTCCATCTCACAAACAGCGCCTCCCCCTCCCCCATCTGTTGCTTGTCTTTTCATTTTCAGTGTGGTGTCTTTGAAGCAACAAAGTTTTGAATTTTGACAAAGCCCAATTTATCAAATTTTCTTTTATGAACCATACTTTCGGTATCATATCCAAGACGTCTTTGCTTGACTGAAGGTCTTAAAGATTTTTCTCCTTGAAACCTTATAATTTTAGCTGCGTTGAAGGCTACGACCCATTTTAAGTTAAGTTTTACGGCTGCTGTGAGAGAACAGTCCAAGTGCATCTGCTGGCATGCGGCTATCCAATTGACCCAGTATCATTTGTTAAGTCCTCTCCTTTAACACAAAGCAAACAGCTTATGAGCCCCTCAGGTCTGTCTGGGGACCGGAGCCAGGCTCAGGATGTGAGTGTGCTTGGTGAACTGCTACAGGACCATGAGGATCATGGGACTGTTGTTATCATTTGGTTAATACTATGCATGAGGAGGGAAGGGGAGGGGTCCTGGGCTGTGAGCAGCTCTCAGCATCCATCTGGCTCCAAGACGGAGATTTGAGTTCTGGATGTTGCTCTTTTCCACTCAACTCCCACTCCCTCATTCTCCCTCATTCCGAAAGCTCCCTCTCTCCCTCCCTTCCTTCATTCCTTTCACAAAGAAGGGTTGAGTACCTACCCCAAGCCAGGCATCCTGCCAGACTCTGGAGGCCTGGAAGACTGGTTCCTGCCCACACGAGGCTCCCAGATACACCGGGGCGACATGCAAGCACACAGGCACAGGCCACCACACATTCTGATAGATAGTCGGGGTTAAGGGAGTCACAGGGAGGAGTCAGAGAAACCTTCTGCAAGGAAGGGGCCTCCAACCTGAGCTGCAATCAGCACAGGGAGGTGGGGAAGCGTGGACAGAGGGGACCATCCTGACAGAGACCCAGAGGGGAGACTGAGCGTGGCGGTGGGGGGAGAGTGGAGGTGGGTACCCATGGCTAGCGTGTGGGATGCATCCCTGGCTTGTTCTTTCATTTGCTCATTCCTTCATTCATCCCTGCAACAAGAATTCACTGAGCATCTACTCTTGCCAGGCCCTGCATAGACCCTGGAGATAGAAACATGAGCAGCCTTTGGGATCTGGGAAGAGATTGCTGCTGGGAGGCCAGGCCCTGGTTCCTGTTCTGCCTGGGAAGGCCCCGAGCTACAAGGTCCCAGCAACTACACTTGCTGTGGGGTGGAATCCACCCAGCAGGGTTGGGTCAGCACCGGCTTTCAGCTCGCCTGGCTGCCCAGCCTGAAGGGGAGGCGAAGAAGGAGAGAGAAGAGAGCCTCACGCCTACCTCACCCCCCTCCTCAGCTTCCTAGCAGCAAGCAGAGGCAGTTAGGAGGGAAACTGTTGCTATGGAAACCTAGAACAGCACCCCACCTTTTCTCTTCACCCCTAAACTATGCCTGGACCTTCCTCCCCTGACTGGAGGGAAGGCTAGCTCTTGGGTACGAAGAAGATGGACAGAAAGCTTTCCAGAGACGAAAGCCCCGGCACTGGAAAGGAAGAAACTCGAAATCTGAGTAGGTTCAAGGAATGCGGCACAGAGGCACCAATGTGCCTGGTGCAGGGAGTGCCCGGGGCCTCCTCTCTTTGGCCATGACTTTCTCATCAGAGCACAGGGGGGCTGTTCAGGGTACCAGAGAGGCGTGGGCTCTCTGCAGCAGGCTGGGCTTCAACCCCAGATCCACCCTTGCTGGCTCTGGGTGACCACGGACCATCAGTGACCACCTTTCTGAGCCTCAGCCTCCACCTCTGGAAAGTGGAGACGATGACAGTACTGCCTTGCAGGGTCATTGCGAACGTGAAATGAGATAATTCGTAATAAAGCCCTTTGCACCGTCCTTGAGAACTACATGTGCTCAATATTAGCCCAGACTAGGCCATTCCTAGGCTTCTCCCACCGACTGTCCTGGAACAGGCAAGAGGAAAGACATGGAGCATGGGAAGGCTTGCCCAGCACCCCACAGACTGCAGCCTGTAGGTGGTGGCTGCCTCTGTTCTTGCTGTGCTTGAAAGCAAATGTCAGCCTTGCTTTGGGGGCCAGAAAGGGGCAGTGAGAGAGGGTGTTAATGCTGGCTGGTGAGTCAGGATTCTTGGGTCCCTTCCTCAGCAGCACATCTTATCTGATAGGGGGAGTGCCTGGCCTTCCTCCCTTCCCATTTCTCCTCCATCCCAGCCTCTAGTGGCAAAAGCTGGAGGCTTACCAGTCCTAGGCTTTGGCAAAGTTTTCCTTGGCAACTGGGCAAGGACTTTGCAAAGAATCTGCTTTGTCTCCATTACTCCTCTGGCCCATCACTCACACCTGTCCTTGCAGGCGTGGCCTGATTTCAGCTACTGTCGTCCTAACTAGCCAGGCCAGCCAGCGCTTTGCTCCCCACTCCCCATCTCAAGGCCAAGTCCTCTGCGTGGGGAGCCCAAATCCCAGAGCTAGGGTGGTTGAGGAAGCCTTAAGGAGGGGGAAATCTTATTAAGAGCTGGCATTTATTGAGCACTTACTGTAGAATAAATACTTCCCATTTAAATACTAGCTCATGTAATCTTCACAAGTACTCTAGGGTACTAGAATCATCCCTAGATGAAAGAGAATTAAGGCCCAGAGAGGTTAAATAACTTGCCCAAGGACATGGTACTTGTAAGTAGCACAGCTGGCTCTTGAACAGGGGCAGTTCGCAAGCCTTTGCTCTGCTACCTTCTGGCCCTCATGGGCTTCTGCTGGGCTCACAGTGCTGGGCAGGGGCAGAGGAAGGGGATGACCTCGCTCCAACTCTGGTCTAGAGATAGAACCTTTTCCAGCCTTTCAGGGTGTTGCAGTGGAAAGTGCTGTGGACTGAGGGATCCCAGGAGATCCGGGCTCTGGGCCACCTGTGTGCTTGAGCAGGTGCCTTCTCATCACTGGGTCTCCTGTCTGTAAGGTGAGGGGTTTTGGCAGCAGGTCGAGGGCCAGGCTGGAGTAGGGTTTCTGATGCTTCAGAGACACAGTTTGCAGCCACACAACCTACATTCCTTGGCACTGCCCAGAGCTCACTTGCTCCGCTGTCCCCATGAGTTCTCAGGAGCTGGTCCATAGGCATTGCATTTTGATTTGGAGAAGCAAGTCACTGTAGCCAGAAGCTATGTCCTTGGAGAAGAAGCTGTGGGGAGGGCACCCTGCCTTCTCCCTTAACCCTGTCCCCACCAGAGTGCACAAAGCCAGAGCACTTCCACCCGCCCTTCCCCTCCCCTCCACCATCTGACCTTCTCAGTCTCTTCAATAATTCATCACCTTTTTGTTAACATCAGAAAAGGTTATTTCCCATGGATCTGGACCTTGAGGAAATAAACTGGAGTTTCTGTCCGTGGGCACGTCTTCCCATCTCCCCTTCTGCTCTGGGACTTTCCGCATATCCGTTTCCATGTTCTTTGCTCTCAGATCTGCCCCACCCCCATTTCCAGGACATCAGCTCAGTGGCCCAGGTTCATTGTCACTGCTAGGAGGCCAGGTCCTTTGGAGGAGTGGAGCGGGGGAGGAGATGTACTGTAATGAGGGTTCCCGTTAATGTGCTCCCCTGCCCCCATGCCAGCTGGCCTTGCACCTTCTCAGGTGTCAGTAAGCCCCTCCTCACTCTAAACTGCCCTCAAGCCTCCATCTCCTCATATCTTCACAGCAAAGAATGGTTTGCCCAACTTAACATGTGAAGAAACTGGGTTGCTAGTAGGCTAAGAGATTTGCCGAAGGCTGAGGAAAAGTGGTGGATCTGGGATCAGAACTAGGGTTTTACAGCTCCCTATTCAGTGCTCTCGGGCTTGGATCAGTGACTCCTCAGCCCAGGGTGGGAGTGAGGGCACTGGAATCATCTGGAAGGTGTTTAGTAGATCCAGATACTCTTACCTTCACCTCTGTCCTGCTCCACTCCTCTCATGCCTTTGTTCTTTTCTCCCTTTGATATGGTTAGTTAGCTGCCTCATCTAGTTATCCCCCCACTCCCACCCCTCCAGTGCCCTATGTCCTTGTTTGCTCCGAGTCCCTTCCAGGTTGCCTATGACCTCCATGATAAGGTCTAGCAGGGGTTAAGGCCCTCAGACCCGTCCAGTCCTGTCTCAGGCCATTCTTATGCATGAACCCTCTGCTCCAACCAGAATCTCCCCACTCCAGACTCTAAGAATGAGAATCTCTAGTCAATTCTTATGTGCAGCCAACAACACAGAGAAACATCATCTTAGAATTTTCAGGGTTATTTGCATCTAACTAAGGAATTCTTGCAGATATCAAATGTTTTCTGATTCCCCCTAAATGAGGAGGGAGAAAGGGAGAATGAGGATATTTGGGGATAAGGGATGGTAGCACGGTGCCCCTTAAATCATGTTACAATGGGGCAGCTCATGAGACCTGCCCTTATAGTCTCCTCTCAGGACATCTCCTGTCCCCTGTCCCAGGTCATTCTGAGTGTGTGGAGAGTTGGCTGGAGGTCTATGGAGGCCTACACCACCCCTTCGCTTTACCCCAAACTCTTGCATTTCTCCCTTTGCCAAGGGTCACTGACATGGCCCCTTTACTTGGGGTACCACGCCTTCCCTCTGTTCTGTCCTCATGTCTCAGAGCTGCTTGTTCTGCCCTCACTGAGCTGGAGCTACTTCTTCTTGGTCTAGGCTGAGACCTTGGCCGCTTCAGTATTTACACCCTATACATCAGCTCAAATCCTACTCTCTGAAGCCTTCCTCCAATAAGCAGCCCAGTCTGTTTCTTGTCCCCACGCTCTTTACACAGCTGGTCTTTGCTATCACTGCCTAGCACTATTCTCTCGTTTTTGTTTTTGTTTTGTTTTGGTTTTTTTCCATGCACATGAACAACCAGTTCCCCAG